AATTGCCCCTAGGTGTGAATGTGTATGTCTGTCTGTCTGCCCTGTGATGGACTGGCGACCTGTCCAGGGTGTATCCTGCCTTCCGCCCAATGACAGCTGGGATAGGCTCCAGCACCCCACCGCGACCCAGAAGGATAAGTGGTTTAGATGATGTATGTATGTATGTATACTGTATCTCTCTCGCTTCTTTCTTACTACTGCTTTCTCTTTTTCTTATATTCTTTTTTCACCCCCTTCCCTTTCTCTCTCTCTCTCTGTCTCTCTCTCTCTTTGTCTCTCTCTCACTTCTTTCCTTCTTTCTTCCTTCCTCCTTCCTTTCTTTCTTTCTTTATTAGATTATTTCATTGTTTCTTCTTTGTTTCTTTTTTTGTTTCTCTCTCTCTCTCTCTCTCTCTCTCTCTCTCTCTCTCTCTCTCTCCCCTTCTCTCTCATAATGTATGATCGCTCTCTGAGTTTCTGAGTTTACCCAGATAGGATCTGCTCTGCTTTGAAGTCTGGCTGATGTAATCTCTCTCATTCTGTATTAAACCCATGTTAGGTAGATCAGTCTGATGAAGCTTTTTTCCTTTAATAAAGCCTCAGTCAGGTCAGGCAGGACACAGCACCTACTGTGTGTGTGTTCCCCACTAGCCCTTGTGTGATCTTCCCTGCTGAGTGTGTGTGTGTGTGTGTGTGTGTGTGTGTGTGTGTGTGTGTGTGTGTGTGTGTTTTGTACACTGTCAGGACTAAACTTTGCCTGGACTTTTCAGTAAAACCAGAGAGAAACAAGGCTAACCTGCAGGACCAACATAATACTTCAGACTTTGCAAAGTGTTTTCAGGACATATATGTTCAGTGAGGGGAACCAAATATTCAGACACTTTTTTTTTAGTGTACTTCCAGTTCAAATTTACACACATAGTCAATTTGACTTTGTGCTTTTAAATATGAGCAAAACTTCATGTATTCATAAGTATTAACAAAGATTTTTTAAAAAATAAAATGATAGCGGGAAGAAATATTCAGAAACTATATTAAAATGTATTTAAAAAAGTTATTGATACTAATGCTTTAAAAAATGTTCGTTTATAAATTGCAGCTGGTATCATTATAAAAGATGTTTCCACTGATTGGAAAGATTTCATGCCACAAGTAGCAATTATGATTGAGGTAAAGGAGCTTCCTAAAATTCTCAGGGACAACATTATTAAACAGCACTCAAATGGAAAAAGCTACAAAGCCATAGCAAAGATCTTAAACATTCCAGTCAGTAGAACTGTCTCAATGATATTGAAAAATTAATGGAACCACTAATTATCTGCCAGCAGGTGCACCCCGTAAGATTTCACAATGCGCTCTCAGACTAATGAAAAGGAGGGTAAGAGAAAAGAGGACACTTGAAGAGAGTTGCAGGATGACCTGAAAGCAGGAGGAACAACAGTTACAATAAAAATAATAAGCAATGAACGGCACTGCAACCATCTACGTAACTAAAACCCGTGCAAAAACCCCTGATAAAAAAGAAACAAAGATATGCATCTACAATTTGCACGCAAGCATTTAGACAAATCCGAACTCTTTAGCAATATAATCTGCTCAAACAAAACAAAAGCTGGAACTCTGGCAATATTTCAGCTGGTCATGTTTGGAGAAAGAAGGTTTACGCGTATCATCCCAAGAGCACCATACAAAGTCAAAGTCAAAGTTTGTTCAAAGTCGAAAGACATTAAGTGTGTATATTTGAAGTGGACATGTGCACTGAAAGTATATTAAATAACAAAAACAAAAGTGTCTGAACACTTGTTTCCTTTCACTGTAGAGACATATTTTTATAGTACAAATATGGGCCGTAGTGTTACATATAGATATCAGGCGTGGTCGATATGACCGAAATATTATGTCTCAATACTTCAAAACATTTTTAAGATAGACAATATGCATCATGATATTTCGTTTTTCCAAGATTTAATAAGTTGGAACAGACAGAATAGAACCTGTAGCACCACATATAAAAATGCTATAATAATAATAATAATAATAATAATAATAATAATAATAACAATAAAAAATTACAATGATTTGTATTCAATGGTTAACAAACTGCACTAAATCCAATTAAACAGGCCTTATGCTCACTTTTTAATGAAGCATGTAGTTTGTCAGTGTTCTTTAAGAACTGAAGATGCCCAGAAATGGCTGTTGTGACATAATATATCACACTAACAATAACATCTCATCATGTTGTCCACCCCTAATAGATATTTATATGTATAAAATACATAAGGGACAGATTATTATTACCATTATTATAAATACTTACATATGTGTAATACATATAGGAGATACACTAAATGGACAAATGTATTGGGACACCCCTCCCAATTGTTGAGTTCAGGTGTTTCAGCTTGATGAGCGAGTCTGGGTTTGGTGAATGCTTGGAGAACATTACCTGCCTGTCTGCATTATACCAGCTGTAAAGTTTGGTGGAGGAGGGATAATGCTATAGGTTTGTTTTTTCAGAAGTTGGCCTAGACCTCTTAGTTCCAGTGAAGGGAAATCTTAATGCTTCAGCATACCAAGACATTTTGGACAATTCTATGCTTCCAACTTTGTGGGAACAATTTGGGAAGGCCCATTTCTGTTCCAGCATGACTGAGCCCCAGTGCACAAAGCAAACTTCAGAAAGGCATGGCTGGGTGAGTTTGGAGAACTTGACTGCCTGCACAGAGCCGTGACCTCAACCTCATCAAACACATTTGGGATGAACTAGAACAGAGATTGCGAGCGAGGCCCTCCCATCCAACATCAGTGTCTGACCTCACAAATGCTCTTCTGGCTTAATGGGCAAAAATTCCCACAGACACACTCCGAAATCTTGTAGAAAGCTTCCCAGAAGAGGGAAAACTGTTATGGCTGTGAAAGGGGGCCAACTCTATATTAATGCCTATGGACTTAGAATGGGATATCAAAAGGCTCCTGTAGGTGTAATGTGTAGGTGTCCCTATACTTTTGTCTATATAATGTATGTAGAACCCTGTGTCCTGACAAAGTATAAAAACAAATCTGTGCATGTGTTAAGAGCTTTCCATGGCTTTGGTTCAGAATGATTTGTATGGGCTGCAGATGGAAAGCTCTTCAATGCAAGTGGTGGGAAAGATCCATAGGCTTTGTATTGAAGGGCTATAGCAGTGAAAGCATTGCCATGTTAAAGCATCCACAGCCTCAGGCAGAGAAGGAGGCACCATACAACCTTTTTCTTTTCCTGTGGAAAAAAGAAAAAACCGATGATGAAAGGAATGTGGCAGAGGACGACAAAATGTGACTTTGACTTGATGAGGGAAGGGAAGACTGTTTATTGAACGTTGAAGGGCGGATAAGAAAGAGAGGGAAGGGCGGCTTAAGGGGAAAGTTTTGAAAGAAGATAGGAGGAGAAGAGAGGGAGGAGAGGAGCAGAAAAAGCAAAAGAAAAGAAAGAGTGTGCCTGTGTGATTGCAGTTCTTTAAAGACTGAAAGGCGGATGAATTGTGAATATTTATGAGCTTGGCTCTTGTTGCCTTTGATGGTATAGTGAAGAGCACTCAGTCTCTCTATAGGATCTCTGTGTGTGTGTGTGTGTGTGGGTGTGTGTATGTACAAGTATGTGCCTGTAACAAGATGTGATCAACATGCTTTTCTGCTATCAGTGGTAAATAATGTCTTGAAGTGAGGAGATGCTCCAAAAGCAGCTGAGAATTCCTAAGCTTACTGTTTACTTGAGGTATATACAGTACTTTAACACTTAAACTGCAATGTCACCCTCCATTTATTTGAAGCTGCCTTGCAAGATTTTTTGTTTAAATTGAAAGAAGTAGCATTACTTACTCAGGAGAAGTTTGCATGCGCTGCTGCAAGTCACCTTGTGAAGTCTGAAACAATAATGTAAAAGTCAGAGGCGTCAGGTCAGATTTGGTGGGGAGTTTTTGAACCACATTGTGTGTCTTTCTGTATTAATGTCACATGTACAGGCTCAAAAGGAAGCCCTGGCTTGACGTTTAAATCTCAAATGCAATATCAACATAATACTGATGAGAAAAGTTCTGTCTGAGTTCTCATTGAATATTCTTACAACACTCTCTCACTCATCAGATTCATCTGCTCAGGGAAGGGGTTACAAAATGTTCTTCCACACAGAGCAGATCCCCAGACTCAGATAGTGTAGCATCAGCTTCCAGTCAAAATACCTTTTATTCCTTTTTCAGCATCAGAAAAAAAGCAGAAAACACATTTAAAAGAAAATTACACAGAAGCCTCAACAACTGAATATAAAATCACATTTTCAATATTAATCATGTCCAGTCCTTGTTCTTAATACAGCTTCCATTTCTTTAGGGATACTACCAGTTTTTCAAAGAAATCTGCGGGGAAATTTTTCCACACTACCAAAGTTCAGTCTTAGAAGTTGGTTATATTTTCTGCTTCTCACGATCCAAGTAATCCCAAACACATTCAGTGATGTTGAGGTCTGGATTCTGGGGTGGTCAGTCCATTGTTCTAAGAACGACAGCAGCTTCTTTCTGATTTGCAAATGTTGTTCTTTTTTGTCTTTTTTCCCCTTTTTTCATTAAAGGCTTCTTGACAGCTACACATCCATTCAGAGTCATAGTGTTGAGTTGTCTTTTCACAATAGAAAATGGATAGAAACACCTGTTTTTTTTTATATCTGAAGCAAAAATGGGCTTAATTGTCTCCTCTGTCTTAAAAATGACAGCTTTAGTACTGTTTATATGATGGTGACAGTTTTTGGTGGTCTACCAGGTTCAGGTGTTCAGTTGGGAATCGACTGTTTTTTTACTTACTTTCCTTTGACTTTCCCTTTCTTATGGAAGTGGATTATCTCATTTATAATCTCCTCCTATCCCCATTTTGTGAAGAATGATGAGATGTGAGTCTGGTATATATGTGTGCATTACTTTATATGTAACATCCATCCCAAATGAACAATTAAAATACATTGTGTTTGTGTGTGTCTCGTGTTTTTACAGAACTGCAGACAACCCAGGCCTTTGAGTTCTACACTCTGTCAGAAAAGGCCATGGACTACAGAATCCTGTTTATGGATGAGGATCAGGACCGCATGTATGTGGGCTGCAAAGACCATGTGCTCTCTATGGACATCAACAACATCACTCAGGGAACGCTAAAGGTCAGACTCTAACTGTTTCAGTAAATTGCTGATGGAATAGATCCTCATAGCATTGTGATTTTTATGATATCATTTTCATACCAGTGTTATGTTCAGAATAATAAATCTCATGCCACAAAACAAATTCTTCAGACATCATTCATAGTGAAACAGTTTAATTAATGCCATTTGTACATTTTACAATCCCTGGCCACTTTATTATAAACCCCTGCTTTGTAACTCCTGTGTACAGTTAGAGATTGTAGCTTTCTCTCTCTGTTGCTCAGTTTGAGTTAGCCATCCTCTTTCTATTCATTTCCATTAAACAGTGCCATATGTATCTCTATGCTACAGAAGAGGATGTTTCCTTTTGAAAACCTGTCAGCGCAGTGTTCCGTTCTTGCATCCCTGACCTCAGTGTTAATGAATATCTGGATTGGATACACATAAAAAAGCTGCACTTCTCGCTGGAGTCTAGTTGGCAGTCTAATTACTCTCATGGGTTTTTATGCTGTGTGATTGTGCTGTTAGAGCTGTAATTGCAAGGTAACATGTGGACAAAGACAGAAATGTGTTTATATTTTCCCTGGGGGAAACTGAGAGAGATCCATTAGCGAACTAATGACCAAAAAAAAACCTCTTAGCGTAGCTCTTCATTAAAACTCTGTAATAAAGTGACTCCATTAGAGGCTTTTGACAGGTAAATGTCTGTTCTTTAGTAGTTATGAAAATTATTCTTAAAGGATTTCTAATGGGGTCCTCCTGTATTTGACCACTTAAACATAAAGAAATGTTTTCCGTCTTTCTGTCATTGTTGTGAATTAAAAACAAGAATTATAGGAGCATTTTAAGGATCAATACAATAGTTTGAAGCTATATGTGAGCTCCACCTACCCTATAGTTCCACTGTACAGGTGTACAATTACAGACTGTAGACCAGGGGTGCACAACTCCGGTCCTGGAGGGCCAGTGTCCAGCACAGTTTGGTCATTTACCTGCTCCAACACACCTGATTATGCTTCTCTGTTAATTGCCAGTTTAAGTGGGTGTGTTTGAGCAGAGAAACCTCCAAACTGTACTGGACACCAGCCCTCCAGGACCGGAGTTGTGCACCCCTGCTGTAAACCATCTGCTGTCTGTATCTCATTGATCATGTAGTTTCTGGCACTGACATTGTGGTGTGTGTGTGGTGCTGGTGTGAGTGTATCGGACAAAGTGGTGTTGCTGCTTGGTTAAGAGTGGTCGCCCACCCAAAAATATCCAGCCAAGAGTGGCTCTATGGTCAGAAACCAACCATTGATGAAGGGCTAGAGGATGGCCAACACAAACTGTGCATCAACAGTTGGGCTACAGACTGTACACCAGTAAGGCTGCGAGAGAGGGGTTTATAAAGTGCTCAGTGAGTGTTTTCATACGTATTACACATCACAGGCATATATAAATCCCTTTAATCTGACCCTTTCAATGCCTGCCAAATCTGAATCCTGTTCAAATTAGCTGTTTTTCTCATTTCACTATTTTTCATGTCACATTCTTCGTTTTTGATATCTACTTCTTTTTCCTCTTACAGTTATTCTGGCCGGCGTCCAACACTAAGATCGAAGAGTGTCAGATGGCTGGCAAAGATCCCACAGTAAGCAAGAGTGCTGATACCTTTTAAACTCCTGCTGTAATATACAGTGCATGTCTGTCTCTTCCCCATATCTCATTACAGTAATGGAGTGTAGACCCAGCACTGGTGCTGCACTACACTCTCAGTTTGAGTGGCTGTGAAGAACTGAATTAATGATGTAATGCTGAAGGCTGTCTCTTCCACCTTACTGCACATGGAGCATGTATTTAAGAAAAAAATACATTAAAAAATGCTACATGCATTGAACATCATTACATCTAATGTATACTTCTAATATTAGAGTGGTTACTGAATAACTCAGATATTGAATAATTGTTTAATTTATTAATTCATGCTCAGGTTTTTTTTGTGTTTCTTAGTAGTTACTGAATAAGTTCTAGTACATACTGAATAAGTAATGGTAGTGACTGAATAACTCACATCATTTACTGAATAATTAACAGTAGATACTGAATAATTCATAGCAGTTAATGAATAATTCATAGTAGATGAATAATCATTAATTCATGCTTATGTTTTTATGTGTACATACATATGTCTGAGCTTGTGTGCATATATGGGAATGCGAGTGTGCTTGTATGTGTGTGTGTGTGTGTGTGTGTGTGTGTGTGTGTGTGTATGGGACGTGCATGTGTGTCAGTTTTTCTATGCGCGGAGGCCACGCTGCTCTGTCATTAATTACGTGTGTTAGAGCAAAGCACTGCGTAGGAGAGGACTAACACTCAATCATCCTCAGAAAAACACCACATTGCCGCAATTAATCATACACATCCATCACACACGCACATTTTAGACTAATACTGATCTCTCCATTAGGAATGTTAATGATCTTGTCTGTATCCACCTAATGTAATCCTTTGCTAACATTACTGTAAGTAAGAAAAGCCTTAAGTATTTAACTGACACAGGTAATAGAAAACAGCCCCACACATTTACACTGAAGTTATAAGGAATGTTTCAGCCTTGACTGCTCTTTGAATGAGCCATATTCAGAAAAGAACTAATACAGTGACCAGTGAGTGTAAGTACAAATTAGGTGTTTCTAATAAAGTGATCAGTGAGTTTGAATACAAATTAGGTGTGTCTAATAAAGTTGCCAGTGAGTGTAAGTACAAAGCAAGTGTTTCTAATAAGGTCTCCAGTGAGTGGTAGCCCTAGGTAGGGGTTTCTAATAAAGTGACCAGTGAGTGGAAGTACAAGGTAGGTGTTTCTAATAAAGTGGCCAGTGAGTGAAAGTACAAGATAGGTGTTTCTAATAAAGTCTCCAGTGAGTGGTAGCCCAAGGTAGTGGTTTCTAATAAAGTGACCAGTGAGTGGAAGTACAAATTAGATACCCATTTTTAAACATTTATATCAGCTTGTCCAGCCCACCAGTTTAGCCCCACACATTCACACTGATGTTATAAGGAATGTTTCAGCCTTGACTGCTCTTTGAATGAGCCATATTCAAAATAGGGCGTATTTTGATATATCATTCTTAAAGACAGTAAAAAAAACTGTTTAATTGTAAAAGATAGAAGAATAAAAGAATAGAGTTTGGAAAGTGATCATGTAAAAATAAATTGTTTTTACTACATAAAACCATATAAACATTCTATGTAGACCTTAGGGGAAAGAAATAATACATAAGAAAAGTATAGGATATTGGCCCTTTAATGATGACAGTGCTGTAACTAAATATGCCAGTGAAATATACTGAATTAAAATTAACTGAGCTGATAATTGCGGACTCAGCTCCACACTGAATAAACCACAGCAACACTGAGTCTGCTGTGCTGAAGTGTTGTTGTTGTGTGGATTTATGGGAGGTGTTTTTTTTTCCTGAAAGTAGCCCTTACCTACTGTAAACAACCACTGTGGTAGTGTAGCATGCTGTCAGTAGAGGACTGTAGTATATGGTTGGGGCAGTGGATTGTTGGGATTTGGAGCTGTGCGTGTTTAGTTTTTCTGTGTGATTTACAGTAGATGAGTTTGGGGAGACCTGAGGCTTCATGTCACTTTGAGTGTAAATCTCCCTGAACTCACTCCAACGAAGATTTGTGTGAGCTCGACTAGCAAAGAATGACCTGCTGCTCTCTCACTATCAAGTCATCTCAATTCAACTCTAAGATTTACTGCCATGACCATATTAAGTTACAGTGTTGCTAAAGCATTTTTACTCCCCAGCCACTTTATCAGAAACCCCTCTCTTGCAGCTCCACCTTGCTGGTGTACAGATAGAGACTGTAGCCCATCTGTTGATGCATAGTTTCTGTTAGCTATCCTCTAGCCCTTCATTAATGGTCAGTTTATGACCAAAGAGCTGCCCTTGGCAAGATGTTTTTGGGTGGTGGTCCACTCTTAACCTAGCTGTGACACTGACATGTAAAAACTCCAGCAGCACTGCTGTGACTGATACACTTGTATCAGCACCACACACACTACAATGACCACTACCATGTTAGTGTCACTGCCGTGCTGAGAATGATCCACCAACTAAATAACATCTGGACAACAGTGGTCAGAAGCTCATCAACGTTAGATGGGGTAGATAAATTGTGTAGCAACAGATGTAATTGTACACCTATATAGCTGACCTTTAAGGTAGGTGTTTCTAATAAAGTGGCTAGAGAGTGGAAGTACAAAGTAGGTGTTTCAAATAGAGTGACCATTGACCCTTGGAAGTAGAAGGTAGGTGTTTCTAATAAAGTGACCAGTGAGTGGAAGTCCAAGGTAGCGGGTTTCTAATAAAGTGGCCAGTGAGTGGAAGTCCAAAGTAGCGGGTTTCTAATAAAGAGTGACCATTGACCATTGGATGTCTAAGGAAAGGCTTTCTAATAAAGTGACCAGTGAGTGGAAGTCCAAGGTAGGGGGTTCTGATAAAGTGACCAGAGAGTGGAAGTACAAATTAGGTGTTTCTAATAAAGTGGCCAGTGACTGGAAGTCCAAGGTAGGTGTTTCTAATAAAGTGGCCAGCGAGTGGAAGTCCAAGGTAGCGGGTTTCTAATAAAGTGGCCAGTGAGTGGAAGTCCAAGGTAGCGGGTTTCTAATAAAGAGTGACCATTGACCATTGGATGTCCAAGGAAAGGCTTTCTAATAAAGTGACCAGTGAGTGGAAGTCCAAGGTAGGGGGTTCTGATAAAGTGACCAGAGAGTGGAGGTACAAATTAGGTGTTTCTAATAAAGTGGCCAGTGACTGGAAGTCCAAGGTAGGTGTTTCTAATAAAGTGGCCAGCGAGTGGAAGTCCAAGGTAGCGGGTTTCTAATAAAGTGGCCAGTGAGTGGAAGTACAAGATAGGGGTTTCTAATAAAGTGGCCAGTGACTGGAAGTCCAAGGTAGGTGTTTCTAATAAAGTGGCCAGTGAGTGGAAGTGCAAGGTAGGGGTTTCTAATAAAGTGGCCAGTGACTGGAAGTTTAAGGTAGGTGTTTCTAATAAAGTGGCCAGTGACTGGAAGTAGAAAGTAAGTGTTTCTAATAAAGTACCCAGTGAGTGTAGGTAATGGAGACTTAACTATGTACACTCTACTTAAATCCCCCTCCTTCAGTCTTCTCTCTCTTCTCTCTCTCTCTTTCTCTCTCTCTCTAGTTTATTTAGAGCTTGTGTCAGGTTGTTATTCCTCTCCTCCTGATGTGTGTATATTCACTTCTTCACTCCACACACACTCAGCGGTAACACACGTGGTTCAGGAAGAGTTATGACTTTTCTCTAACTGAGCTGTAAATGATATTTAGACATGCTTACACAGTTCTGACTCATTAATTCACTGCATTCATCACCTAAAACACTGTTTATGCTTTTTCCAGAGGAAGCAGATAGAGAAAAGAGAAAGAGAGGAGCTGTGTGGAATGAGACAGAGAGAGAGAGATGCAGAGGAAAAATGATAGAGAAGGTAAAGAGAAAAGGAGAAAAAGAAGAGAAAGAGAGAACAAGAAACAGAGAACAAGAGAGAGAAATAAAAAGACAGAGACATAAAGAGTAAGGGAGAACGATGGGAGAGAGATAGAGATAGATTAGTAGAGAGAGAAAGAGAGAGAGAGAGAGAGAGAGAGAGAAGGGTGTGTACTGTTGGAAGTGTCCTTTTTCTGGAATTGTACTCTGCTGTGTGTGTGTGCGTGTGTGTGTGTGTGCGTGTGTGTGTTAAAAGAGGACTGCAGCAGCTGCTGTTTGACCAAAGCTAGCCAAGTTCCTAACTGCTCCCTGGACAATTCTTCTTTCTCTCTCTCCCTCTTTCCCTATCTGCTTCACTCTCTGCCATTCTTAATCATTTTCTCTCCTGCTGATTAAAGTGATCTACACAGTTCTCTCTCTTTACTCCAAATGTAGTTGATCAGCCCAGGCATGTTTGTTTCTTTAATTTTACACAATAACCATGAGGCTTATGTAGCTAACAAGTAATATAAGCTTATGTACACCAATTAGCACAGTGCTAACTGCAAGCTTAAATCATCATACATTCACCTCAAACTGTGTTGTGCTGTTAAGTATCTATAAACATGGATAAAAGTACATTATTATTCAGCAAGGGTCACCAATTTTATCTGTAAAGGGCCAGTGAAGCTGAAGCTCATCTCATTTCACTTGGTTAATCAGTTGATCAGTCTTCAAACAATTGATTAGTTATAGGAGGTGAGCTCCTGTCAGCCACACCCACCCTTTGTGGATAAGATCGGTGACCCCTGTCACAGTGTAAGAAACCAAATATGCAAGTATGTTTGAGATTGCTCAACAACTGGGTTTGGTGGTAATTAGTGAGTGAAAAGCGAAAGTTTCTACATCAAACACTGATATATAATGACATTTTTATTATATGAATAGTTGATGAAAAACAGCATATTTTATTGAATTTTGTTCTATTTGTTCATATTCTGTTTATGAAAAGGATAGTTAAGGTCCTAAAACCTGATTGGCTGTCATGTTAGAAGCAGTTTTAAATTACACAACATATGCACACCTATGACCGCCTCACAGCAACTAAACTCTGTATTACTGTGCCACATCACGAAAAATCCGTGTGCTAGTTTTGGAACAATCTTTGACTCTCATGCTGCTCGCATGGACCAACAAGCGAACTGGTGAAGAAGTAAGAACCTGTTTTTTTGTGTGAACTGAGGGGCTTGTAACTTATTTTCTTAACTAGAACTAGGCTGGAAAGCCAGCTAACAGGGTACAAGATAGTCAACAGCCTAAACAACTCCATCATTAATATCACAGACTTTGAAGTACTTACAATATGATTTGCTGTAAAACTGCAATATAAACGACTAAAGAATCTCACTTGAATTGCTTCCAAGCTTCACATGTCTGTGCTTCAGTCAGAAGTCATGTCAACCCCAGGTTGAATCCCAAACACCTTACATACTCCCTGAATAGTGTGCTAGCTATGGAGGTTTTGAAATTCTAGCTTCTACACCCAAATAGTGCACTATTCGTTGAGTATGGATGTGGCTGAATCCCAAATTATTTTTTATGACTATTTGTAATAACTATTTTTTAGCTACATTATGCATTGTTGGGGTGCAGAAGCCAGTATTTAAATTCCTACATAGTGCAATGTTATGTAGGGAGCAGGGCGCCATTTGAGATTCGGCCCCAGGATGAGAAGGGCGCTGTTAGATGGTGACCAAAAAGTACTTATAAAGCGAAGGTTTTTGCATTAAACAGTGCTTTATGATATGTTCATTGTCATAAGACAAAAAGTTAAAAAGTTCATGAAATGACCACAGATGAGCGATTAAGCTTTCTTCTCTGCATTCAGCAGTCCATCGTTGCTTGGCAACTATAGCTACCCTCCTCTAAAGAATTTATATTTCTTGGTGGAATACTTGCTTATGTCAATTATTATTAACAATAAATCTTTTTCTGAAAAAAAATTGTATTTTTTCATATTTTATGTTGGCTGCCGTTTTATAAAACTCTGCTTTGCATTGTACCTAAGAACACCCTTACCCACAATAAAACTGCTGTAACTCGCAGCCCTTCATGGCTTATTCCTTTATCATATCACTATTTTATAAAAGCAGTTAGAAACTTGAGGCTGTGTGTGACAGTGATTTTACCAGGGTAAGAGGATTTGAGGCAAGATAGAGAGTTGAATATCACTTCATTCATTGGAAAAAAATCACAGCATGGTTTATTACTTTTTTAAAAGGCCACTGAAGTGTGTGTTATGGTCTCAAATGTAGTTTTGAGATAGCTTTATCATTTTTAAAGAATGATTTAATTTGTTAATGTATTATAGAAATATTGGTTTACTATATTCAAAAGAACATATTTTCAGCTATATTATACCTTGTCGATCAATACCTTGGGCCTACTGCTGAAAAGAAAAGTAGAAAACTTTCACCTAAACCCCCATTTTACTTCAAAATAATTGTTGGGATGCTAATCCAAATAACCCAAAACTTCTTTTGATCAACATATATTCCTATGCAGTTAAAATGGTGGTTTGTGACACAAACAGGACAGAAAATATCAGCTTTGTTAGATCATGTACTCTACACATTAAATGAGACAGCTCGCTATTAATGAGTAGGAATAGATGCTTTTTTGTGTGACCCTAAAAGTTACATTTTAATGTAATGAATAATGAGTATCTGCTGTGTATAAATTGCATGCAGTTTGTCTTTCACACTTCCTCTGAGACGTGTGCAGTATTCTTCCACATCCTTCCACGGAGCACTGCCCAGAGTGTCCACGTGTTTGGCGCACGACCCTGACCACGTGCCTGCTGTTACTCACTGTGTCTGTCGACCAAATTTGTCATTATAATTTACTGTGTTGACCTTGTGCTCTCTCTCTCTCTCGCTTGCTCTCTCGCTCCCTCTCTGCAGCACGGCTGTGGAAACTTCCTGAGAGTGATTCAGCCCTATAACAGGACTCATCTGTTCATCTGTGGCAGCGGCGCCTACAGCCCTGTGTGTGCCTATGTCAACCGTGGCCGGAGACCTGAGGTAACACACATCAAAACCCCCAACCCCCAACACTCTGCGCTTTGGTTTGGGTCAGTTCAATTTTATTTATACAGCACTTTCTACAACAGACGTTGGGCCTCATTCCCCAATATCTATCCAAGTTTTTTTCTTAAATGTGTTCTTGAGAAAGATCCTAAGAAAATACCTACATAAGATTCATCACGTCTTCTTCAACCACAAAACTGCTCGAACCTTTGTGCTCTTGAGTGTGTGTAAATTCTGTTCTTACCTAAGAACAAACAAAAAAACACAGGCAAATGTCAGAGTCTTCATGAAAGTGGGTTTTAAGAAGAAATTTCTTCTTAAGAATGGTTGGTGAATGAGGCTCATTGTGCTATAGCAGCTTTCTCCAACGTTTTCGGACACCACGACAAAAGAGCCGACTTGCAAAATAGTGTCTAGTTTTTGTTTTGAACACAGGCCTAGACTCCAAAACTAGGCCACACTTCACAGTAGTGTTACAGTCACTTAAGGTCTCGGCATTAACTGGGTAAGTGTGAGGAACAAACTGCAGCAAGTTTTCTTTTTTTTGCATATCTTTCTCTGGAGAAACATGCTGCTCAGCACAACAGTTCATTTTATACCCAAAATGCTCTACAGCTTCTAGGAACATATAAAAACACATTCAGTCCATCAAAACATCAACACTAGTGCTCTTATAACAGAATTTTTTTTTATCACTGCACACTCACCAGAGAAATGCTAACTTTCAGAATTAAGGTAGATCCCTCTTAAATAGTAAATAGTTATTTACTCTGTAAATAACTGAGCATGTAAACAACAAGAGTTTACATGTTTATCTAAACTTAAATTATTCTTTGCATTATTTCATTGAAATTGTGATCACTGAATGTTTACTGTGCTCAAGCAAGGAAAATCTTTTCACAGCTTGGTCTGAACAGAGTGTTGTGTGCTGACTGTGTGAAGAGCTTTGAAAATGACACTTCGGTACTGAAAATGCTTGTTGGCAATTGTAATTAAAAAACTGTAAATTACAGTGAAATGGCAAACAGCTTCCAGCTATTAACTGGGTAAATGTGAGGTACAACTCTAAAGTACTGCCTAATTATTTTGGGTAAAATGATGATAAGTAACTAGACAGTCTTATTTAATTAAGCTAAAAAAATCCAATTGTTTCAAGTCATCAAGCTGTTTTTCCATCTCCTGTTATGGCCGCAGTGATATATAAAGTTCACGATTTGAATGTATATTTTCTGTTCTTAGTCCTTCAGCACTCATTTTTACAAGTACTTCACTCACAAAAGTATTTATATTTTGGTTATGTGTGGAGTGGCTATCAATTAATTTGCATCTTTAATAGCAGTGTTTTCAACTGATTGAGTGTTTAGTTGATAACAGTGTTGATACCAGTAGTGTCTATTTGAAGTATTTATGTGGGTTTTGAAAGCAGTCTTTCATTATAAGCAAAGTTAACATGCTTTTAACTCAAGGGAGACACATTCTGGTAAATTTAGTTACAGTTTTGGAATCTTTGTCCAATGTTTGGAAAATATTCTAAAAATATCTCTGAGCAGTTGTAAAAGCTGTAATTCTGTTGACACTTGAACTCAGACCTGTTGAATCAGGTTGTATCTAACAGGCTTGTCTGGGAGGAGCTGTGATTCAGAAACTCACAATGGCCATTTCTTTTCAGACTGGAGCGTCTCTCTCTAAACCTGTGCTCTTGTACTGGGATTACAACTGATACCTTTTCTGGTTAAGTCTGTTATTCTGTTAGAAAAGAAAGAGGAGAAAGTAAGAGAAGTGAACAGAAAGGCAGTGAAGAGAATAGATAGAAGAGAAGAGGAAAGTAGACCCAAGGAATAAAGAGAAAAAAGTAAATGTGAGAAGAGAAGAGAAAAAGAGATGAGAAGAGGAGAGAGGAAAAAGAGGGAAGAAATGCAAAAGAGACAGAGGAGAGAGTAGAATAGAAAAGGAGAGAAGAAAAGCAAAGAAGAAAAAAGGAAAGGAAAATAGACACAAGGAATGAAGAGAAGAAAGTAGAAGAGGAGAGAATAATAAAGAAGAGAAAGGGAGAAAAGAGAAAAAGAGAAAAGAAAAGAGAAGAGAAAAGGAAAGTAGACAAAACGATAAGAGGAGAAGATAAGAAAATAAATGAGGAGAATAGATAACAACAAGAGAGCGGAAAATAGAAGAGCAGAGGGAAGAGGAGAGTAGAGAAGAATAGAGGTGGAAAAGAAAACAAAAAAGGGGAGACTAGAAGAGTAGAGGAGTGAGGACAAGAGAAGATAGTAAAGGAGAAGAAGAGCAAAGAGAAGAGAAGAGGGAAGAAGAGCAGAGAAGGCTCCAGGCTGTTTGCTCTCCATCACTCTGCTTTTGTTTGAAAGGCGCATTGCTCTGTTTTAGCTCTAGAGTCTCTCTCTCTCTCTCTCTCTCTCTCTCTCTCTCTCTCTCTCTCTCTTTCTCTCTCTCAGAGGGAACCACCAAATATGTGACTCATCACAGTGACAGGACCACCCCAAACACCCTGTGACTTCAGTGTGTGTATGTGTGTGTGCGTGTGTGTGTGCGTGTGTGTGTATGATGCTATGACTACAACATCACTTGACTTCTGACAGATACACACACACACACACACACACATACACACATACACACATACACACACACACACACACATACACACATACACACACACACACACACACACACACGTAATACTCAACCTAACGGAAACCCGAAAACCCCTAGCGATCTGTCTGACCACTCAGGAGACAGGCAGCTTGCCAGAGCTACCACACCGAAGGATTCTGGGAAGGAAATTCCTCTCTTCTTCTTTTCTCCTTTTGGAATCATTTTTAATGATCCATGAAAAAATGAACACAGAGTGCAGAAAGGAAAAATGGATGGAAAAAAGACTTCAGTTGAAGAATAGCAGGAAGAGCTGTGGGGAACATGTTTAATCACTTATACCTTAGAACTCTATGGTTATTATTGGAGTTTTGCTATATGTTTTATTTTAATTACATAATTAGTTAATTGTAATTATATATTTATGTAATTAACTGCGTACTGTGCTGTGCGTTTGTCAAAACAGCCATTAAGTACAAGTTATTCATTTTTCATCATTAGGAAAAACTTGCTGTATTCTAACTGAAATAGAATGCAAAGAAAACAATACTGTATTAATGCTGGATTCCTGCATATTCCTGCAAATTATGACATACTGGCAAGTGAAATCATCTTAAATCTATTCAGTATATCTATTATTGCTCATCATGAGATTGATGTAAGAATACTGTAAAAATATTTATTTTATTTCTAAACATTTTACTTGTTTTGTCTAGTAATACAGTTTTATTCTATTGTCAGATAATCATAATGAATCATTTTTTTAAATAATCCAGATAAATGTGATTGTTTTGAAACAAACTAAATTATCTGCCATTTGGATAAGAATTTCACTAGATAACCTTATTTCAGGCAAGTTGTTACAATAATATTATTGCAATAGTCTCAGTCTCATAATGATCAGTATTCGATATACTGAGTAGATCAGTTGAGTGTATTTCTCTCGGCAGGAGAAAGTGTTCCATATTGCATCGCGGGCGGAGTCAGGGAAAGGCCGCTGCTCCTTCAGCCCACGGGTCAACACTGTCTCGGTCATGCTCAGTGAGTACAGAGCACCACCCACATACTGACCGTAAAAGGTTTGGGGACTCCAAGCTGTTCAGGATGTTTTAATAGAAATGACTGATTTTTTGGTTTTACAAAAATGTTATTTATATTATATTAAAGCCAAAGCAAGAAAAACATTACACTGAGGGGAGGAAATGAGGTCACACGTTACTAACGACCTAAAGCGTGCATTGAAGGGTTAAATGTTACGTGAGAAGATTGTTGAACACTCTCCTGTTCTTATTCCCACTTTCTTAATTTCTCATGTAGATCAGGAGCTGTTCTCTGGCATGTATATAGACTTCATGGGGACGGATGCGGCTATCTTCAGGAGTCTGACCAACAGTAATGCAGTGAGGACTGACCAGCACAACTCCAAATGGCTAAGCGGTACTGACCACTTCATTACCTGAAGGAGATTGGTAACACTTTATAATAATGATAGTTTATAGACTTCTATTAGCTGTTACTTCATAATTAACAAGTCATACATTTAAAAAATTGAGAATTATTCATCACTAATTAATATATTAATGTTAATTTATAACAGATGTACGCTACTACTTTATAATAAAGTAATAAGCCTCTAGTTAACAAATCACAAAAATCAGGAATTTGATCTTTATTAGCTTATAAAGTCTACATAAAAATTATGATGAGCTAATCAGAAATTCAGATGTTATCTAATATTAGTAAATATGTGAATGTAAATATGTGAATACTAAAAAAACAGACCTATACATATATTAGTAAACATAAGCAGTAGATATTAGCCTATAAACAACATTAACAAACAATCCTATATGCTAGAATAGGAGAGATGAGTACATCAAAATCATGAATAGGGTAACACAGAGAGGGGAGTACTAATGATAAAGTGGAAGTACCTGGGACATGACCAGAGAGGGTGGAGACAAGAACAGGACACTGTGACGTCACTTTATATTAGGAGCTGTAAAATGTAAAAGATAATTTACATATACCTCATAAGTCATTTGCAAAACATAATTAAGTAAAAGTTTATATGTGTCTTACAAAGTAATGTTAAAATATTAATTTATGATAAACCATTGTAAATATCTGATTAGTTAATGATTAGTTAATTATGAGGTAACAGCTAATAGAGGTGTTATAAACTATTGGTATCATAATGTGTTACCAGTAGAGTTTCTTTTTATGTGGCATAGTTTGGCTAAATCTTTGTCAAAAGTGTCTTACATTGGCCAACTACTGGAAAAGTCCCATAGAGAATTTGGTGTTAAAGGAATAGTTTAAACCCCCCACAAATGTACACATTTTCTTATACTCTTATACCGAAGCAGTCTGAGGTAAGTGGGTGATGATTTAGGTTTACAATTTGCACAATTAATTGGTGCAGTACAAGCTCCCATTACTTCTTAGCTACATTAGCATTAGCCTCATAGCTCCAGTACTGAAATGAAAGAAACTTCAGACACCAAACATGTCTTTGCTGACTTTTGGCTGTCACTTCAATACACTTCCAGCAATAAACAATGATTTTTATATACATAGAGATTATTTTTTTATATTTGTATATTTTTAGTGAAACCAATTACGAGCCACACGGGCATAAAAGCATATGTAAGGTCCATATAGCACTCAGAGGTGTCCTAGTTTCAGATGAAAAGGCTCACATGGTGCGGCCTGAAACAACAAAGTGAAATATGCCACATGTGTGTATAAAGTTTCCTTGAAGGTTTTGCTCTCCTTTGTGAGATGTTTTGTCAGGATGGTTTGTGTTTGAGCTCAGGATGAGATTGAAATGTGTGAAACTGAGGGGATATTAGTACAGATGAGAAACGTTAGGCCTCCTCCGAGCACCACTCGCACCCAGTCTGTTCTTATATGCATGCGGATCAACCTGGATACAGGGTTGGCCCATATCATGGAAAACTGCATTCTTGAAATGAAAGAATTTTAAGTATCAAAACATACAAGTATCCATATCACATACATATGACTCCAAAGTCATACAATCTGTATATGGAAGCAAAGCTGCAAAAATGGCCTGCTTTGAATTTGTTTTCTGTGATGTTTGAAAAAAGCAACACATTTACATATATCCACCTATTCAGCCTACAGCTGTTTAGTCCTGCCCATTCACATTATATGGAGTGCTTATCTTTTTGAATTAGGCACAATACAGTGTAGCCAATCAAAACAGAGCTCATATGCATTTATCAGTCTTTAAGGACCAGTAACAAAAAACACAAAAACTTTACAAGGGGACCTTAGGGGAAAAAAAATGTAGAATATGCATCCATCAAAAACAATGGATAACATTTCCACAATTAAAACATAATTTTCAAACAATAAATGTGATTTTTGATAATGGTACTACTACTGCTACTATTAATAATAATAATAATAAATACATAAATAATAATAATAATAATAATAATAATACTACACACACACACACATCATCTACACTGCTTATCCTTCTGGGTCGCAGTGGGGTGCTGGAGCCCATCCCAGCTATCATTGGGCGGAAGGCAATAATAATAATAATCATCATAATAATAATAATGCATTTAGAATAATTATATAAAACAAAAAATTAATTTACCTCCCCAGCTGACCCTGAATTGTTGGACTAATTGGCAAAAACTGTAAGGGTCTACTGTAGATCCTAGTTTTGTAGATGCTTGGGTCTTTATTTGTATATTATATATATGTATATATTTATATTTCCCTCTTTTATTTTGTTTATATAGCATATAAGCATTTCTGATATTGAATTCTGCTTTGTAGAGAAGCTATAGAGGATCTTAAAGTTAAGTGTGACTGAATGTGATGCTGAAGTCATTGTTTTTGTTCTTAACAGAGCCTGTGTTTATCGATGCGCACTTGATCCCAGATGGATCGGATCCAAACGACTCCAAACTTTATTTCTTTTTCCGAGAGAGGCTGACAGACAACAGCGGAAACACCAAGAACATACACACCATGGTTGCACGAGTGTGTCCTGTAAGTGTGTGTTTATGCATTGAACATCACTAAAATATACAACACAACAAAAAATGGAAGCAACTAGTGATTTGAAGTTTCACAGATATTTTACAGTTGAGCCAGTTTCTACAGTTTTCTACAGGTCAATATTGTACTACCCATGCACTGTGGAGTTTGATGTAGGCCAAAACATTTTGTATTTGTGAACTGTAATTTGAAGGCGTACATCAGCTTTTGAAAGTGCAAATATAAAAAGCGAGTTATGTAAGTAATTTTGGCGTCTCAGTGCATTCAGTTCCATTTCAGATGTGCAAATGTGCATTTTGCCTACATTTTGGACTTTTCATTCCCTCAGATTAACTTCACTTTCCTTTCAGTTTGCTACATGCACAATTTTGGCAATATTGTTTATAAATAAACACAAAAAAAACTGTGATACAAGGTCAGCCAGGAGACTGTATTATTATCTTTACCTCGTAGTTTTACTGTTTATGGTAGGTGAGTTAGCCAGCTTACTAAGCACTATATTAGCTCCCTGGCTAATGCAGCTGCACACAGCATGCCACTTCTGCCAACCACGGCAGTTATCTTTGATCTGGTGTCTTAAGGATGTGCTAGTCTGTAGCTTCAAGGTCATAAACAGTGGCCCACTGTCGTTTTGTCCCCCTAGCTAATCTCTGGAAGAAACAACTCAGACACAATTTACTTCTAAAGTCAAGGAGGAGATGTTCAACTCCTTTAATTTGTAGCACACTCACACATTCCAAAGCTTCAAGGTAACCTTCAGGATCATGCAGCTTGCACATACACAGAGAGGACAATGAAAAATTACCATTACAGTATTGTGTGATTTACTATAAGATCAGCTATTAATGAGTGAAACTACCATTTCTGCAGCCACATTGCTGATGGGTAAATCTATGCTGTTTATGTCATGAAAATGAACAACAGAACAGGAACCATATTAAACATATCCAGGGGCAATTTGCTATTTCTTATTGTTATTTAATATTACACCAAAGCTTACAATGACAACGCAATGTAGACTTATGCTTGTTCAGGCTTTTATAATTTGCTTAAAGTACATCAGTTGTCCACATTAGTTAGCAGGTTAGCTTGCTCAAGCTCACTAGCAAGCTAGCTCTCTTAACAAGTAGCCTGTGACCTTATACCATGTAAAATGTATCCAGTCAAATGTCTTCCATCCAAGTCTTCACTGTCGACAGTTAGGTATAAAACCAGATATTTCCATTTTCATGTTAAGCTGTTACAGATTTACAGAAGAGAAAGAGAGGCATTGTTGCCCCTCTGTGCCATCAGAGAAAGAAGACCGGTCTATCCTTTCTCTGTTTGTTAAACTCAATGCAGTGGCTACTCATATGCATAAAGTAGAAATCTGAGTTTTTTCACAGTGTCCTAACTGTCATGCACCCTGTGGATCTGGCAGAGCCCACTGTCAAAATGAATAGGATGCGGTATGGTGAATCAGCAAAAGGGCAAGGGCTCAGTACGCCCACCTTGGATCTATCTGGGCAACCTGCCTGCCACTGGTGTAGCTGTGCTGTATTTTACTGTAGTGTATTTTATGGGCAACACTCTATGTTGATAATCTCCCAGTGTAACTAACCTGAGTAAGCTGATGAATCTTCAGGAGTTTGAATGGAGAAATCAAGAGGATTTGATTAGAGCTGCAATAAACACTGCAGCTGAATCAGCAAGAACTCTCCTCATCAAGAGCTCTTACTGTACACACTATTACTGCACACATTTAGACTAAACTGATTAATCCTGAATTCATTGTTTGGAATTACTAGTCATATAGATTATTTATTATTTTATTTTATAATAATATATAATAATATTATGAATTACTCATTTTAGATGTTTTATTCAGTATTTCAAGAACAAGAAGTTAACCTCTTAACAAGCCATGGGTCCTCCAGCAGGCCCAAAGTGTTATTACACACTTCTATGATAAAGAAAACCATTGGTTTGCATTAAAGTCCCCGTAGTTAATGAATAAAAAGCCTTTGTATTAAATAAATGTGGCATATTAAGGTTAAATGATGAATAATACAATGTAATAATAGATTCACAGAAATGTTTTGTTCAGTTATTTGTGTCTAGATTTAATCACCTCTTTTGAATACAAAAATACAGCATTTCAATAATTTTAGAATTGTTTTAATTGAATTGTTTTTCTTAATTTTTATTCTTACAGCTTCACACCAAATAATTGGAAACTTATGAAGTTGTAGTACAGCTAAGCATATTAACATTATTTAATACTTTTATCTGTAGCAAAATTGGTTTCACTTTCACTTGTTCATATTTGAAGTCATTATATACATTTAATGCAAACTTTTGAACAGAAACATGGTGCTATCTATTATGCTGTCTGTTATCTTAAATGTTCATATTTATTTTTAAGTTCATGCTGTAAATGTTTAGCCTGTGGTCAGTGTGCTCTGTAGTAAAGTGGCGTTTGTGTATGTAGAATGATACAGGTGGTCAGCGCAGTCTGGTGAATAAATGGACCACATTTCTGAAAGCCAGAATGGTGTGTTCTGTTCTGGAGGAGGACGGCACTGAGACGCACTTTGACGAGCTTGGTGAGGATACACACGTGCACGAACACAAACACACACACATTCACACAAACATACTAGTCTACGAATCCAGATATCAAATCTTCTATTTTGGATGCCACCCTTTTCTCAAACCTTTACAGTTCAGCAGGCAAGCTGTCTGTTACCTTAGTAACAACATTTATACTACTTCACAATTAGAGTCTTGAAAAAATAGAGTCTAACAAACTTCAGTTCCTAAGCTGATAGATGCTGGATGTACTAAGAAGCTCCACTGCTGTTCTACTAAGTTACTCCATACTTAAATGGTTTTATGAGCTGCTTATTTTGTACTTCTATTCAAGTTGTTAATAAATAGTCAAACTCTGCAACTATGGTGAAAGGTGTCCCGATTCATGGCCCAGTCAAACTCCACTACCGCAGTGAATAGTCTCCCAGCTTATGGCCTAGACATACTGTAGTACCATAGTGAATAGTCTCCCAGCTCACAATCTAGTCATCTAGTCAAACTGCACTACCATGCCGAAAATTGTGCTGACTCACGGCTTATCAAATCCCTCCACCATGTTGAAAGTCATTCCAGTTTGCAGCCATGTTGTTGTCATGTGGAACAGTCTCCAGGCTTGTGACCCAGTCAGATTCCACTACCATGGTAAAAAGTGTCCCGAAATCATGGCTTGTCAAATTCCACTATCACAGTAAAGTTTCTTCACTCCACTTCTAGTCCACTGCGGCCTAGTCCAAATTCGCTACCATGGTGAAGAGTCTCCCAGCTCACGGCCCAGTCAAACTCTGCTACCATGGTGAAGTTTCTTCCAGCTTGCAGCCCAGTCAAACTCGACTACAATGGTGAAAACTGTCCCGACTCCCTGCCAGTCACACTCTGCTACCATGGTCAAGAGTCTCCCGGCTCACATCCCAGTGAAACTCTGCTACCATAGTGAAAAGTTTCCCAACTCGCAGTTTTCAAACTCCATTACTATGGTGGAGTCTCCCAGCTTGCAGCCCAGTCAAACTCCACTACTATGGTTTAGAGTCTCTAAGCTCTCTGTCAAACACTGCTACCGTGGAAAAGTCACTCAGCCTCACTAGATGATGGAAAACTCCTGGGCCACCAAAGCAAATCACAAACACACCACAAATAATACAAAATACACAAAAACCGTTGTAAAGCTCGAGCCCAAAGTAGGCACAGTATTTTTACATTGAATACGCACCCACTTTTTTGGAAGGGTGCTTTTACTGCAGTATTCAATGTAACAATAACTTTGTTGTAGGATTGGTTTAAGATACTCTACACACCTCTGCCTATAACCTGAGAATTTTCATGTTTTTGTATCATTTTCTATTACATATGTGTATGTGTGTGTGTGTGTACGTGCATGCATATGTGTGTGTGTGTGTTTGGGCTGCGTTCCTCTCTGTAGCTCAGCTGTACAGTGCAGTGGGGCGTCGAGCTGAGTCACACACTGAGTGCATGTTTTTGTCTCATTGCAGAAAGTGTGTTTTTGCTGGAGACAGACAATCCGAAGGGCCTCCTGCTGTTTGGAGTTTTCACCTCCACCAGGTATTGCCAACAGCAACATCACACACACCACGTACAGAGTATGCCCTTGTGTGTGAGTGGGTGCATGCATGAATGAATGAATATGTTTTCTGGGATTTGAGATTGTGTGTGTGGGTGTTTGCTGGATGTTGGTCAGGTGCAGTTCACACTGTGGTTTTGAGAGGAATGAGTGTGTGTTAGGTCACTCATCAATACTCCAAGTATAAATACGGCAGAATGTTAGTCATATACACAATTATATATAATACATATTGGACATATATATATATATATACATATATATATATATATATATATATATATATATACACAACCCCATTTCAAAAAATGTTGGGACGCTGTGCAAAATGTAAATAAAAACAAAATGCAATGATATGCAAATCTTTGAAACTCTATTGAAAATAGTACAAAGACAACATATCAAATGTTGAAACTGAGAAATTTCATTGGTTTTTGAAAAATATATGCCCATTTTGAATTTGAAGCCAACAATACGTTGCAAAAAATTTGGGATGGGGGCAACAAAAGGCTGGTAAAGTTGTGTAATGCTAAAAAAACACCTGTTTGTTCATTGGCAACAGGTCAGTAACATGATTGCATATAAAATGAGTGTCTCAGAGAGGCTGAGTCTTTCAGAACTGAAGATGAGGAGGGGTTCACCACTCTGTAAAAGACTGCACGATCAAATAGTGCAACAGTTCAAGAATAACGTTTATCAATGTAAAACAGCAAAGAACTTTTGCTTTTCATCGTATACAGTACATAATAACATTAAAAGATTCAGAGAATCTGGAGAAATCTCTGTATGCAAGGGTCAAGGCCAAAAAACAGACTTTGCTGGCCGTGATCTTTGGGCCCTCAGACAGCACTGCATTAAAAACAGACATGATTCTGTAGTGGAAATCACTGCATCCACAAATGCAAGTTAAAACTCTAAAATGCAAAGAAAAAACTGTACATAAACAGGATCCAGAAATGCTGCCACCTTCTCTGGGCCTGAGCTCATTTAAAATGGACTTGAAGTAGAAAAGTGTCCTGTGGGGCCGACAAATCAATATTTGAGATTCTTTTTGGAAATCATGGACACTGCGTCCTCTGGGCTAAAGACCACTCAGATTGTTATCAGCATACAGTTCAAAGGCCAGTATTCATGATAGTATAGGGGTGCATTAGTGCACATGGCATGGGTGACGTGCACATCTGTGAAGGCCCCATTAATGCTGAACGATATATATATATATATATATATATATATATATATGTTTTGGCAACATATGCTGCCATCCAGATGGCATCTTTTTCAGGGAAGGCCATGATTATTTCAGGAAGACAACGCCAAATCACGTTCTGCATGTATTACAGCAGCATTGCTCCATATTAAAAGAGTCTAGGTGCTAAACTGGCCTTCCTGCAGTCCAAACCTGTCACCCACTGATAACAGTTGGCGCATTATGAAATGAAAAATATGACAAAGGAGACCCCGAACTGTTGAGCAGCTGAAATCCTATATCAAGCAAGAATGGGAAAACATTTCACTTCCTAAACTACAGCAGTGTCTCCTAAGTTCCCAAACACTTACAGAGTGTTGTTAAAAGGTCAGGTGATGAAACACAGTGGTAAACAGGCCCCCGTCCCAACTTTTTTGGAACGTGTTGTTGGCATCAAATTCAACGTGGGCATAAATTTTTCAAAAAACAATACAATTCCACAGTTTCAACATTTGATACATTGTCTTTTTAGTACTTTCCTTTAAAAATATCGTTTACAAGATTTGCGTATCATTGCATTCTATTTTTATTTACATTCTGCAAAGCGTCCCAACTTTTTCATGAATGGGGTTGTAGATAGATAGATAGATACCCACAAAAGACATGTGTAAGATATTAATATGACATATAGATGCTTACATATGTTTAATACATATGGGACAGATTATTACACATAGGTACAGATAATAGAAACAAATGTATGAGTATGTTTTTTCTGCATATCAGCAGCAGTTCTGAAGTTTCCTAAGGTGAGTGTATGTTTGGTGACTGTATTCAGGTTGCAGTAGCAGAACCCCAGATTTTTCTGCTCTGATCACGTTGGTCTGTGCGCTCAATATCCTTCTGACCCACTTCTCTGAGCTCAACTCCAACCCAAACATACATTGGCTTCATCGCTGGACTCTGTTCACAGTCACATCTCCTCACACACACACACACCCTATATTTACTCCTCTCCTCCATCCCTGCTCTATCAAACAGTTTCAGTCTGTAACATGTGCAGCCAAACCACACTGCATGCTTGAGAAAAGCTAGAGAGAGAGAGACTGTGTTTGAAAGACTATCACATTTTATATAATTTATCTGACTATCAGATAGCTGCATTAGTGTAAAAGACTTGATGTACACCAAAAGTGTGGTTTGTTAATGCTGCTGAACTCCATCATTATTGTTGTTGTTTTTTATTTGCTGTTATCATCTATTATGCTATTTTTAATTGTTATTCATCTGTAGTTTTGTTGCTGCTCTTTCAAACATTCCTGCATTAATATCCACATTACACATTTCTGCATAATGTGATGCACAATCACTGTTTTTTTGCTAAATTTATTACAACAGGGAAAAAAAACAAAAACAAAATACGGCCTGAGTCATTCATTCATCTCTCCATCTCCTTCTCTGTGGATCAATGGAAATGCTCTAATGAGTAGTCATGGTGTTTTCTCCCTGACAATGTAACTTGAATTCACCAGTGGAGCCAAAATAATTAGACTCATTGTGAGGATGTTAGTCTTCTAACAGCATCTTCTAACGTTGCTGTTATTTCTTTTTATTGCACGTGTGTATGTGTGTTTCCCTCCAGCTCCGTGTTTAAGGGTTCAGCAGTGTGTGTGTACAACATGGCAGAGATCCTGACAGTCTTTAATGGGCCATTCGCTCATAGGGAGGGTCCAAATTTCCAGTGGGTGGCGTTTCAGGGGCGCATCCCGTACCCTCGACCAGGAACAGTGAGTATCCTACAGTTCATTAGAAATCTCTACCTTGTCCATACAGGCCACTATAAAAATCCCTACCTTGTTCTTCCACTCACTGGCCACATTATTAGAAACCCCTACCTTATACTTCCACTCACTGGCCAATTTATTAGAAACACCTACTTTGGACTTTCACTTATTGGACACTTTATTAGAAATACATACTTTGGACTTTCATTTACTGACCACTTTATTAGAAACACCTACCTTGGATTTTCACTTACTGGCCACTTACTTTGTACTTCCACTCACTGGCCAATTTATTAGAAACCCCTACCTTCCACTTCCACAGACTGGCCACTTTATTAGAAACCCTTACCTTGGACTTCCGCTCACTGGCCAATTTATTAACCCCTACCTTGTACTTCCACTCACTGGCCACTTTATTAGAAACCCCTACCTTGCACTTCCACTCACTGGCCACTTTATTAGAAACCCCTATCTTGTACTTCCACTCACTGGCCACTTCATTAGAAACCCCACTCACTGGCCACTTTATTAGAAACCCCTAGCTTGAACTTCCACAGACTGGCCAATTTATTAGAAACCCCTACCTTGGACTTCCACTCACTGGCCACTTTATTAGTAACCCCTACCCTGTACTTCCACTCACTGGCCAATTTATTAGAAACCCCTATGCTGAACTTCCCCTCACTGGCCACTTTATTAGAAACCCCTACCTTGGACTTCCACTGACTGGCCAATTTATTAGAAACCCTTACCTTGTGCTTTCACTTACTGGCCACCCTAGTAAAAACCCTTACCTTGTACTTCCACTCACTGTGTGCACTGTGTCTGTGTCTGAAACGTCATAAATGCTGCCTATTCATACAGTATTCTGAGGCAGTAAGGCCCCCAGTTATATCAGGATCAAATGTATAAAAACACTACCTGCTTAAGTTCTTCCATTTTGCCGTTTATTGACAGCAGTTTAGATATATTCTTCACTGAATTACATATACCATAATCCTTTGTGTGAGCGCTGATTTGGTTCGGAAAAAATAGCAGAAAGCATCAGCTCTGACACAGTGGAGGAGAGGTAGCCTGGTTTGTGTACAAATACAGAACTTTTTTTAATGGTTACAAAAAGTTTAGTATGCTAGCTTTCTTAAAACATTTTTTTTCTGGGTAAAAGATGCTAATGTCTAATGCTAACAGCTAACTAAATGAGTCTCAAACATTTAGTTGCAGATACCTTCATTACAACACTGCCTTGAAGCACAGGCAGCAAGACATCGAAACAGCTGCCTTCAGTTTCAGATACAACCTATGTGTACAATTACAGAGTCTTTTCTGGGTAAAAAATGCTAATGTATAATGTTAACAGGACTATAATTTGCTATAATTATAGCAAATTATAGTCCTTCTGCTGCTGCACAGTTTATAACCCCCTCTTCACTCTATTCATCATTTGTCTGTTTCTGACCACAGGAGCGCTGTTGTCGAAATATTATTTGGTTAGTGTATCATTTTCAGCACAGCAGTGACAGCGACATGGTAGTGGTCATGTAGACACAGCAGTGTTGCTGGGGCTTTGACACACATCAGTGAGTTGAGAGTGGTCCACCATCCAAAAATATTCAGCTCTGTGGTCAGAATCTGACCATTGATGAGGGGCTAGAAGATGGCTAACACAAACTGTGCATCAACAGATGAGCTACAGTATCTAACTGTTTACCAGCAATGTGGAGCTACAAGGAGAGGTTTTTGATAAAGTGGGTGGGGAGTGGACATCACTGTCAAAATGTTGTTGGAAGTGCAAGATGTTCCTTGTTTGTACACACTTACTCAATGAAACTTAAAAGTTAACATGCTGCTAATCTACAGCAGCTGCTCCTTGATATTGAGGAATGAATAATAAATGAAATCCTTTATTGAAAATGAAATTAAGGGCAGGCTATTATCTGAACAAAATGAACTCGATAAGATTTATGGAATAGGCTATTAAGTTAGCCTATTTAATTAGCTATTCACTCTTGGACTCTCTGTCTCTGTTTATTTCTCTCTTTCTGTCTCTCAGATTCAGATTCAGGCTTCATTGCCATGAATTTTAATTAACAGCTGTTTCCAAAGCAATGAAAGGAATGTTTAATACTAGTAGTGATTAAAATACTGATTAAAATCAACAAAAACACATACTTGTGGTCACATGCATACATAGATGTGGGGTTATGGTTACTGTATTTCTCTCTCTCTCTCTCTCTCTCTCTGTCTCTCTTTCTCTCTCAGTGTCCTGGTGGTGCATTCACTCCTCATATCCAGAGCACTAAAGAGTTTCCTGACGATGTTGTGATGTTCATGAGGAATCACCCACTCATGTTTAATCCCGTTTACCCGGTGGGCCGCAGACCCCTGCTGGTCAGAACTCATGCTGAGTATAAATACACCTCCATCGCTGTGGACCAGGTGACTGCGGCTGATGGACACTACCAGGTTTTGTTTCTTGGTACAGGTGAGATACACGCACTCGGGGGCAGTAATCACCTCCCAAGTATTTATGTGTTCAACTCTTGAACACACTTATCTAAACGCACTTGCACATTAGTTATACACCGTGTATATTACATATATTTATCTAGCTGATGTTACTATCACTGCATAACATTTCTGAAAGGCTGTCAGTATATTACATATATTATCTAGCTGATGTTACCATCACTGCATAACATTTCTCAAAGGCTGTCAGTTATAAAAAACATAGCAAAGCTTCGCAGTAGCAAATTAAATGATAAGTCACCTAGGTTACACCACACATACACCTGTTACATTTTAACATATCATTAATATGGGAAATATTATACTGTGTTAGGGTTCAGTACCACTTTTAAAGTCCAGTGCTATTTTTTTCTGGTGAAAAATGGGACTATGTAAGATTCTATTGTTAAACTTGAAAGAAGTAGCATTACTTATTAAAAGGCATTGAGTCAGATTTTGCAGGAGTTTTTCAGACCATGTCAAACTTCTTCACATATTAATGTCATATGCACAAGCTCAAATGTTTAGGTCTCAAATACAAAATAAGCATTATACTAATGAAGATATGATGACAAGAGTAGATCGTTTACTTACATCCTCAGAAGAAACATCCTTCACCAAGTTTTGCATAATCATTAGATTCATCAGCATATGGAAGAGATCTGAAGCACAATCAGTGTTACAAAATGTTCTTCCACATTTTGTGTGCAATTACACATTTCCACCAGAGAGGTCTCCAATCCGCCAAAACGTACATAGTGAAGCTTTGAGTTATAATGCTGGAAACCTAATGGGTACAAGGCCAGTTAGCTAGTTAAATAGCTACCATGAAACTGTCAAAATTGACACTTTTTGATAAATATTTGTTATATATTTTCACAGTATATAAATATGATAAGTATAGGCCTCAAGATTGCTGATTCTGTTTTTAGATATGTGGCATACTTTTGTCCATGTTTATAGAGAACAGTGTGTCACACAGCATTAGAAACCACATAAGCAAGTCTATTTGATATTACTTAACCGCTCAACACAGTTTGAGGTGAATCAACAATGATTTAGACTTGCAGTTAGCACAGTGCTAATTGGTGGGGTATAAACTTATGTTATTTGTTAGCTTTGTTAAAGCTTTAAGCCTTGTAGCTCCAGTGAAAAGTAAAGAAGCAAACTTCAGATACCAAACATGTTTTAGCTGATCAACTACATTTGGGATTAAATGGGGTGGGGGGGGGGCCTGATAGAGCTAAATGGAAAGGAAAAAGGAAGGAAGAAGGAGTAATAAAGAGCATTTTATTATTTAATATTCATCTAATAATAGAGCTCTACCCTCTAATACAGTGTGGTGGAAGTGTTTCATAAGCAGATGGTTAAATGGAGAATATTAAAGTGCACGCTGCTGTGTCTGAGAGAGAGAGGGAGAGAGAGAGAGAGAGAGAGAGAGAGAGAGAGAGACAGAGAGAGAGAGAGAGAGAGAGAGAGAGAGAGAAATATTAAGATGTAAGAAGAGTGGTAAAAGAAACAGTGACGAGGTAAAGAGAGAAAATGAGAGGGAAAGAAAGAAAAAAGAGAGAGAGAGGGAGAATAAGAGCCAGGAAGGGACAGAAAAGCACAGATGAAAGGGAGATAGAGAGAGAAAGAGAAAGGGGTAAAGAGAGAATGCTACACAGAGAGAGAGAGGGAGACAGAGAAGGAGAAAGAAACAGAATGATAAAGAGACAGAGATGGAGGAAATGTTAAAAAAGAGATAAAACATGAGAAAATGATTGAAAGAAAGAATGAGGGAGAGAGGGAGAAAGAGAGACAGAGAGAGAGACAGAGAGAGAGACAGAGAGAGAGAGAGAGAGAGAGAAAGTCAGAAAAAGAAAGAGAGATACAGAGACAAAGGGGGGAGTGAGAGATGTTCTGTCTGTTCTCTCCTCCCATCTTTTCTCATCTGTATTGTCATGGTGCGGGCATGTTTTTGTGTTTTGTGTGTGTGTGTGTGTGTTTTGTGTGTGTGTGTGCGTGTGTTTGTGTTTTGTGTGTGTGTGTGTGTGTGTGTGTTTTGTGTGTGTGTGTGTGTGTGTGAGGTGAGGAGTTGAGTGCTGGTTTTGGGAGAAGAATGGTGCTCCCAGCTGTTTGTGTTCATCAACCTCCCTCTCTCACTGAATTCCTGACCGACGGCCAGAAACGGCGTCCACTTCTCTGCCTCAGATGGAGGAATGGAGTCGGGGATTTCCAGAACTCTCTCTGAGCTCTGCTCCATCTCACCTTGTTAAACACAAAGACATCCTAAACCAGACTGACCTCAGCTCGACCTGCCACAGTGGACACCCCCTGATTGCTGTTCATTTACTCACTTTTATTGAAGCAGCCTGGCTGGTTAAGAGCTCATTCTTATTCTGATTTTACATCAGAGGCGACTCTACACTGCTTCACCATGCTTGATATTTCACACTGAACGCAGCTCATGTGCTTGATGAAGTGCAGAGCATGTTTTGTCCCCATTTGTTTTTCTAGTAATGGATGCTGTGGATAACCAGCAGATAGCTTTATTCTGTTTGCAAATTAAATCAATTCTGTATAGATGCCATTTTAGCATATTTATTGACTATTACCTGTTTGAAAAGGGTTTTGATTGGCTGATACCTCAGTTATTGTGGCTACAACTCAAAATATAGCTGACTACTTTTTTGAATATGGACCTAGATTGCACCATATAACAACTACTGAATTGTGTACGGTTTCTAGATAGAAACCACCAGCATGCTATCATACAAAACGAGCTCCTAAATTCTGCAACTGAGCGTTGGCCACGTCATCAGGAGATCATGAGTTTGCTAGCATGTTGAGCTGTCCGATGATATAATGTTAGCAACTATTAGAAAAGATGCGATGGCTGGCTTCATGTTATTCGGAGGAAGCATGTGCTAACCCTCACCTTCCTAGCACTGGCAGTGTCATGTGAGTGGGGAGACCTAGCCAGTGGGTGGAATTGGACATGACTAAAGTAGGCAGAAAATTGGGAAAAATGCCCAAAAACAGACATGGGTCTTATTTTTGCATATTTTTCCGGTGTGAAAGGCTACATTGATTGACATAGGAACATACCGCGTAGGCTGTGCTGCTGTACATCAAGTGGCACCATCTGTTGTAAATAGGCTTTACTAACAACATAATTAGATGTGTAAAAAGGCTTTTCCGTCATAAACTGTAAATATTAAATCCAGTACAGCACAGTGTTCAGTAAACTTTTCAGGTTCAGGCCTATAATATAGTTATCAAAATAACCCAAACCAGACAACAAGAGCTTGAATGTTAATTACTGCCTTAAAAACACATTTAAATGTACACAATTTCCCCCATACTACAAATATAACAATAAAACAAAGACATATTTGGTGTCTGAAATTGTTTTTTTAGTTTAAAACTGGACATCTTATGATACGGTCTTATACAAAAAGGCATCAGGCTAAGGAGTCACAGACACTACAACCTCAGACAAAACAGCCTTGCACAGAAAAGTTTGTGTGACATTTGTGACTCACAATACATTTAGAATAAGTGGAGAATATATGTGAGAAATTTTTTTAATTATTCCTTAAAATCTCCTCAGTTTGTGCTGCTTATGGACAGATTCACCCATCAGGAGACTGACAGATTTCCATCTTAGAGCAACCACTTCTCAAAGAAAACCTCATCTCTGCGTTTTTATGTGTGTCTGTGACCAGTGGAGCCTTTTTATTGTGCTCTTTATTGTGACTGTCTGGCTGCATTAATTCTTCCCTCTCTGATTTTGTCTGTCTCTCTGTTTCCCCTCCAGATAAAGGCACGGTGCAGAAGGTGGTGGTGCTGCCCACAAACCGCTCGCTGGGAGAAGACCTGATTCTGGAGGAGCTGGAAGTGTTTAAGGTCTGGACTACAGCCAAGGAGCAAATATTAAAACCTTAAACCTAAAAGGGGTCTGTGTGTAAAGACACACTTCAATTCTGTACTCTCGTGACTGTGTAACGTACACACTCAGAGGAGATGATCCATAATCCATATCGTTACTGAATACTTTGTAGTAGAAATAATAAGTTTTCAAGCAGTAATATCATGGAAAATCAAATGAAGATTGTTTTACAGTGTAAAATTTCAAAAGGTCCAAAGGTCACATTCACTTCCAAGTCCATGCAGTTCATATATGGAAACAGCCTACAGCAGTTTAACTCCGCCCATTCAGTCTACAGCAGTTTAACCCCACCCATTCAGCCTACAGCAGTTTAACTCCGCCCATTCAGTCTACAGCAGTTTAACTCCGCCCATTCAGTTTACAGCAGTTTAACCCCGCCCATTCAGTCTACAGCAGTTTAACCCCGCCCATTCAGTCTACAGCAGTTTAACTCCGACCACTCCATCTACAGCAGTTTAACTCCGCCCATTCAATCTACAGCAGTTTAACCCCACCCATTCAGCCTACAGCAGTTTAACCCCACCCATTCAGGCTACAGCAGTTTAACTCCGCCCATTCAGTCTACAGCAGTTTAACCTCACCCATTCAGTCTACAGCAGTTTAACTCCGCCCATTCAGTCTACAGCAGTTTAACCCCACCCATTCAGTCTACAGCAGTTTAACCCCACCCATTCAGTCTACAGCAGTTTAACCTCACCCATTCAGTCTACAGCAGTTTAACCCCACCCATTCAGTCTACAGCAGTTTAACCCCACCCATTCAGTCCACAGCAGTTTAACTCCGCCCATTCAGCCTACAGCAGTTTAACCTCACCCATTCAGCCTAGGCCATTTCGTCCCTGCACATTCAGCATAGAGCAGTTTAGCCCCACCCGTTCAACCTACAGGCCTTTTAATGTACAAATGGCAAAACATTGAACTTTGTTTACAACAAATCATTAAACACATAATTAATTAATATGGAAAATCTTTTCTGTTTTCTTTACATGAAGTTTTGTGTGTAAATTTGCAGACTCAGCATCATTTTCTGCTCAGTATTGATGGCTTGAAACAGCTGAAAAACATTATATTTTGGGATTTGGAATTTATTTTTTTTTTGCCCAGGAGTGTATGTAGCATTACTCATATTTCGACTGCTGAACTACCTCTTAATTCAGCTAGTCCAGTTATACTTGGGACGTTATCATATATATTACATTTTCATATATAGATGCATATGTGAGGACATAACGTATCAGGTTTGGGACATTTTTGTTTAGCACAGGGTGTGATGGAGGTCATTTTTGAAAGTCTGTGCAGACCCGGAGGTCCTAATTTTTTTTCAGACCTGGCCTGCTTTTATTAAGAAGTACAATGCAGGGCAGTCTATCAGAACAGAGCTCATTTACTTATATCAGTCTTAACAACCTGTTTAATTCTAAGGGACATAGAGAGGATGACAAAAATGAATTATGACTTTTAGTTTTGTTTTTGGATTTATTTCTTAAAATTTAACTTTGGTTAACAACAATGAAGTTGCAAATCTTTAGTATCACTAAAATGCAATATTTGCAATTGAAGTGAATTCAAAGAGAAATATATTTATTAGCTCACATTTGAAATATCTACACATGGTGCCATTCTGCTGCTGAATAAAACTGATTCTGTGGTCATGAGTAATGAGGTCTGATGTTTGACTTTTCTTTTTCCATTTGCAGAACCGAGCTGCCATAACCAACCTTAGAATTTCCTCTAAGAAGGTATGGAGCTGTAATTAGTGGTTCATTTCTGGTTGAGTGCTGCTGGAATTGTGGCCTAGCATTGCTGTTCATGCTGATACTGTGTGGTATTAAAGCAGTAGTTCAGCAAAAAGTATCATTTATCCAGTTTTCCTCCTTACACCAAATGTAGTTGATCAGCTCAGAAATGTTTATGTCTGAAGTTTGCTGTTTTAATTTTGCACTGGAGCTATGAAGCTAATGTAGCTAACAAGTAATGGAAGCTTATAATCCACCAATTTGCATGTTGCAGACTTCATGCCTAATTCATCACACACTCACCTCAAACTGCATTGAATTGATATGCAATCTCTAACAGACCTGCTCATGTGTTTTCCAACACTGTATGACATGCTGTTATTTATAAACATGGACTAAAGTATGAACAAAATTCAGATTTCAAGATGGCTGCTATGGCTGTTTTTAGCATTTTGATGTACTTTTGTCCATTTTTATAGATAACAGTCGGACACATGACATGATGGATCTACATTTGGGGTAGGGGGGAGATAGCATGATTTCGTTTTTTGATGGAAACAATCGCTTTAAGCATTAGTGGATGCTTTGAGTGGTGTTGATGCTGGCAGGCAGAAGCGCTGCTGTGAAGATGTGATTAGGATCATTATCTTGTCTCTGTGATTTGAGATTGTTAAATAAAGGGCCTGTGTAACGTGTCAACTTGTTGAACTTGTTTGTTTTACAGCAACAGCTGTACGTCAGCTCGGAGTATGGTGTATCCCAGGTGTCTTTGCATCGATGCCATGCCTATGGCTCAGCGTGTGCGGACTGCTGTTTAGCGCGGGACCCCTACTGTGCTTGGGACGGAATGAGTTGCTCCCGCTTCTATCCCACCGGAAAGAGGTGCACACACACACAGCCCCTTCACACACACACACACACACACACAAAGAGATATTTGCATATATATACATGCACACATACTGAACTGTGCAGTAGTCTGGATATGTAAAATATATATATGTATATATGTATATATATATATATATATATATATATATATATATATATATATATATATACAGTCATTTGCAAGAGTTTAGGCACCTCTCATCTCACACATTTTGATGATTTGGTGTGAAAATAAGTGAACACATCTACAGAGAACACACTTCTGCATTTCAACCCATAATTACTGCATTTGTTGTTGTTTAATTTAACATATTGGAAAAAAAAATTAAAATGTGCCCTGTGCAAAAGTTAAGGCACATTTTGTACTGTATGGCCTCGTTGCCACTGTACAGCCAAAAAGTTCTCAGGGCCATACTGGGCCGTCCTGTGCTGGTGCAGACTTGTGAGACTGGTTACAGTTTCTTTTTCTATCTGCTGTGCTCGTAAATCAGAACCTGGAAATAGTGAAGAAAACTACACAAAAGAGTGTCTAACTGCTAACCTCAGTGACCAATACCTACATATACTCCACCCACTAAAAAACACATTTGACTCTGTCTGTCACTCCAACACCAGTGTCTCATCATGCTTTCGGATTTTCTTTCTGTATTGCCTGTATTGCGATGGGTTAAATCTGTAGCTAGCTATATAGCTAACTGCATTGCCATTAGCAATGCCCAGCAGGGTACAGCTCAACGCATTTTCTATCACTTCAACACCAGACATTCAAATTGGTGATCTCAGATATTAGAGTGTTTTTCCTCGAAAAGGGTGTTTTTTTAAGCATTGGTTTGCTGGAACTGTGCCTGTACTGCTGTAGGAGGTACTGTACACTTGTATTAGCTTAGTTCAGCTGCTGCAGCTTAAAATACACAAACTTTCTCTCACTCAACTTTGCTATTGCTGTTAAAAGTTTTTCATCATCTATATATGTGATAGCAGAGCACCAGTTAATTGACTCCAACCTGTACTGGGGTGTTTGGATCTCACCAGCTAAGCTAGCTAGGAGAGAGGAGCCAGCTAGCATCAGTTTAGCTAGGAGGCTACAGCTCCAAACACCACAGAGCAGGTTTAATTCAACTTTCTGTACCTCCAACAGCAGCTACTCAACGAGTACATATAAGTAACGAATTACCTACTTAGAATGAAGTAGTTATCAGTGTAAATAAGTACGACTGACGTTAATAGTTGATTTAAATGACGTTCATTAACTAGCTATACTACATTAGTTACCTCTAATCGAGTAGAGCTGCAGTGGAGAAAAGTGAGTTTTGTTACACATCAGAAAAACACTTCTGTACAGCTGTAAGTAGAGTACATTTCAAAGTTTTGATGCTCCTCATCGGCCTCTTACAACAACAGTCTCTGTAGCACGGTGACAGCAAGAATCACATCTGAGGCATCCGATGCATCTGAGGAGCTCTTTAGTGGAGTTTTTGGTGAGTCACACTGTTAGTTTGAAGAGGCTGTCATGTACAGACAAAGCCTACGATTTACATTCTCCAAATGTACGAAAACGCTCTGTCCATCCGACATGAAACACAGCCACTACAGACAGCTCTGTCCATTTGAAATGAGCTGTTTCCTTTAAAATAACATGCTGTCACACAGCGGATATCAAATATTGGTATCGGTGAATTTTTATGATTATGAGTAAATGAACACAGTATCAAGTCGATGCCTAGTACCAGTATAGGTACTGATGCATCCCCAGTAAAATATTTGTGTCTGATTTTTGTGTGTTTGTATATTGAAGGAAAGTGCTTTGTGTTTAGTAGCTCAGTGTCATAATGATTTTGTACAGATCTGCATGCGTGTGTGTGATTCTGTTTTTCTCTGTTAGTAAAAGGATTTGAGAGTAATGTGGATTGAAAAAAAGGCCCAATGTGTGCCCGTGGTGTGTGCAGTATGTGTTTAGGTTAGTGTGTGTTCCTCTGTTCTGCAGTTCTGTAGCTTTTGGCTCTCTGATGAGAGAGAAATATCAGTGTGAACTTGTTCAGTGTGAAATGACTGCAAAGCTTCATCAGATGTTTTTTCTCTGTAGCACAGCAGAAGCGAATGTGATATCCCACAGACACTCAACAAACCTGCTCTGTGTGCGTGTAGAAAGTTCAATAGCCGAATGTTGATAGTTGTTGTGAAGACATGTAACATTAAAATGTAGCGGAATATGTGAAAATATTTGATCTGAGATGTCGTTATGGTTTCAGGAGAAGCAGAAGGCAGGACGTTATGTATGGAAATCCGCTCACACAGTGCCGAGGGTTCAATTTGAAAGGTACAGTTCCCCACAGCACGGTTTCCTTTTCTTTTCTCTACAAATGTATAAATTACAATAAGTAAGTTCCATCCAATTTGGGCAAAAACATGTAGGTGATAGAAAAAAATATATTTTTCATTAATTTAGTGGCTATAGTAAATCACTTGTCAATACTTGAAATGTTGCGAAAAACTATATATATATATATATATATATATATATTAAAATGATAGGAAAGATAATGCAGGTATGCAGAAGTTTTGTTTCATGTCACCAGATTTGTATATATATATATATATATATATATATATATATAAGCAAAGGAACATGAGAGGGAGTGTGTTATCTATATTAATTTTATTATTATTTTTGTCAACTTTATGGAAGACACAGTCCAACAAATATGTGTACTTAATTTGCGATATACATAATGATATGTAAATCTAATTTGATATAAGTAAAATTCAATTTTCAATAAGCATAAAATTCAGTTCACAATACGCATAAAATTCAGTTCATGATATTCATAAAAATCAATTTGCAATGTACATAAACTTAAATTTGTGACAAAATTCAATTTGCAATCTACATAAAATGCTATTTGTTGCAGTCATAAAATTATATTTGCAGTATGCATGAAATGACCTGATGAGAGAAAACACATTCTCAAACACAACTATACAATAAAGCAAAACTCATAACAGCCATTTCTTGCAGGACTTCAATAAGTAATATGTACGTTTTTACTGAGATCAGTATTGAAATGAACAAAAAAACACACACATTTTATTGTTGTTAAATGTGCATGGAGTCAGTGGAAATGCAGCTAATGACACTGCTGTGTTAGAGCAGAGCAGCTTTCGACTTCTCAGCGTACCAAGGTTTTCTGACATTTTGCCTGAAAGTCCCTACTTATCCATTCCAACTGAATTAATTCAACTGCTGTTACAACCTGTCACTTTCACTCTGTCTCTCTCTCTCTCTCTCTCTCTCTCTCTGTCCTTCTCTCTCTCTCTCTCTCTCTCTCTCTCTCTCTCTCTCTCTGTCCTTCTCTCTCTCTCTCTCTCTCTCTCTCTCTCTCTCTCTCTCTTTCTCTCTATCACTCCTTCTGTAAATGAATTTGTGTCCAGGGACTGAAGCATCTGCTGATGTAAACTAATTGGTTCTGGTGCCTCTAAACTGATGCGCCATTTGGTTGGCGCTGAAACAGCACCTGACACTATTCATTACCAACAGAGAAATACTCCCAGCTGAACTGAGCGCCAAGAAAATTCATTTTAATGCCAAAACACACTGATATCATGGCCCATTATTTATAGATGCTGATTCTTTCAAGTTGTTCAGACATTGATCGGCCTTGTTTCAATAGATGTCACCCCCTTTCATTCCCCATGGTGTATTAGCCTTGAAGCAAATCTTCTTACATTTTTGTTTAACTATTTCTAATTATTTCTAGTGGAAACACCTGTGTGGAAAGTGCAGATTCTAAACTTTCAATGCATAGCATATTGCAGAAACAAAAACATCTGTACACCAAAACCAGTTAAAAAAGATAAGAAGTGCAGACCCCAACCGGTGGATACAGAATGTAAATCAAATGCAAATGTACTTTATTATGTAACCAATTTCATAATGTGTATGAAATTATATTGAAATAATTGATGATAATGTAAGTCAGATTTTTGGTTTAGCACTTTATGGGCCTTTGGATGCTACATACACTAGAGTGTGTTCATGAGGGAAAAAAATGCAGAAACTATGAAATAGAGACCAGATCAGTAATTCAGAAGCTTTATATGTGTACAGTACTGAAGTAGGAATAGTTTAGAAAACCAATTTACAGTGTAAAGGATGAACTTTGAACTTTGACTCTGCCATCAGGACAATGTGCAGCTGTTTAATTCTCGCAATGTGTGAGCTGGCAAGTTCCAGTATGACCAGATGCATGTGGGCGTGTGGGAGAGTGTTTAAGTGTGTGTGTGTGTGTGTGTGTGTGTGTGTGTGGGGGTTTGTGTGTGTGTGGGTTTGTGTGTGTTGCTGGATTACTGAACTGCTGCTGTACTGTATCAGCCTACAGGAATGCAGTGGAGATGTCCCAGTATGGGATCAGGAATAACACCACCTTTCTGGAGTGTCTGCCCAAATCACCCCAGGCTTCTGTCCGATGGCTGATCCAGAGAGACAATGACCGCAGGAAAGAGGTCAGCAATCCTCAAGGCTTTTACACACAAAACTTACACTGTACTGCAATGTTCACAAGTCGCTTCATGCAAGTGCACATCAGGTCTTGAGTAGCTGGGGTTCGAGTCTGAGCCAAGTATCGTAGATGGCGTTGCTTTTGTTTCATTCCTGAAGCTGATATGGAAGATCACACTCACAGCTGTGTATTAAAACTATTAGCAGCCATACCTGTTTGCTCTGACGTAAGCTTATCTAACAAATATCAATGCACTTATTACGTGCACAGTCATTTGTATAGGTTCATTAAAGTTTTCTATCCTGTCCAAGTACAGTCTTGAGTCACTGGAGTATGAGTCCAAGCTGATTCTCGAGTCTTTGGGGTTTGAGTCCAAGCAGAGTATCAAGTCACCCAGGTGTGGGTCTGAGCCGAGTCTACAGTCTCTGGGAGCAAAAGTCTGTTTCTAACATTTTAAATTTGACGCCACCTTCAGACTGATGCACTGATGTGCTTAGGCTGCTAAGTAACCTACAATGGATTTATCAGTCCTGCATTACATCCACCAAACAACCACCGGAAAATGCCATTTCCCCCAGAGTTCTCCTTATTTTGAAATGTCCGCTACCAGAAACGACTGGCCAGATCCTGCACAGGGAGGAAAAATGCTCCTGAAACAGACAGCAGGCGATCGGAAACTGGTGTTTGACACCAAACAGACGGTTTAGTTTGTTTTGGCAGTTTGCAGGGCTGTGTCTGACCTCAATATAGTGAGTCAGAAGAGCTCCCTGTAGATCAGCGCTCTGAAACCCTCCATGATGCTCAGGGATGCTGAGGTTTGTCATTTTCTGTCACGTCACATCACGTCAACCTCCAGAACTCAGAACCTTCATGCTGTTTTCAAACCTCTTCTCCATCTCCTGTCATTTCTGTCACGGACGGCTACGTTAGCTGAAATTCTCGCAGCTGTTCCGCTTTACTAAATGAGGCAATTGTCCCGGGAGACAGATTTAAAAAAAGGAAAAAAAAACTGTTAGTGCTCCCTTTGTGCTGTAACAGAGAAGAGGAGCGTGTGCATATGGCTGTGTGGTTTTTAGGTTTGATATTTTTTTTTTACTGGGATTAAAGCGATAGTTTACACAGTTGACTCAGTTTTCCCTTTCCCAAATGTGGTGTCATCTGTGAAAGCTGAAAAAAACATGGCCATTGATTGCTTTGGCTGTTTTAACAGGATGTCATACAGCGTCAGAAACCACATAAGCAAGCCTATTTGAGACTGCATTGAAATTTACATTTAATTTTTTATCATTTTCTACAAATTGTTTCAAACTTCTGAAATTGTAGACTGCCAGCTTGATATGGGGTTCATTCACACTGCAGGTAAAACTGGCCCAAATCTGCTATTCCATTTCTGCCTTTGGTTTTTGTGCGAGTGTGAACAGCAAAGACATTAAAACACATTAAATCTGACATTTTCAAATCTGATCCTGGCCTCTTTCATATGTTGTACAGCAAAGATAAAGTTCTGAAATGTGGTAGTGCTACCTCTGTCTGAACAGTCAAGTCAGAATTTATGCAACTTTTACATCAATTTAACTCAGCCTTCCTCATAATTTCACACTGGAAACTTCTTATACTAACGTAATCTATATGCCTGTTACTTTGGTTATGCTTTGTGTATTTCATTTTGAAGGATGAGCGAGACGAGTGTGGACAGCATAAAAAAAAACACAGACACAATCCATGTTTATTTTTTATGCTGACAAGAGAAATCAAACAAACAGCTGTTCAAAGTCAGTTTACTTCAAGTATATTTAGAAAATAGAAGCAAGGAGTCAAAGGAGCTTTAGACAAGTTTTTTATCCAGCAGATACTACTGTGCAAAAGTCAGAGACCACCTTTGATTTATTTCATTTCCAGTTGTTCATTTTTCAAGATATATTATTGATGAGATTAGATATAAAATATTCCACTTGCAGAAGGAAGGGGAAAGTCAAAGTTTTCAAAACTGGATTTCAAAAAGATTCAGAGAAAATGGGACTCCTAACTATGCAAGACCTGGTAGACCACCATTAATCAACCACCAGAGACTGTGATATCTGCTCAGAGTGGTTTAATTAGCCAAACTAAGCATAATCATCATATATTGTAAATAACCCATGATAAGCATTAATCATTCAATGTTAGTATGAACAATTCACTGTGATCTATGAACAAGACCGAATTGTATTATAGGGTATACAAATGTGTGGCCTACAAATAATCACTCAAGCGTCCTCAGCTGGTACAAACAGCAAACAATACCAATTAATACTCACAAGTAGGTGCATGCTCATGCATGTCATGAATGTCCCACAGCCAGTCTGGTAATAGTGGCAGCAGAGCTTGTTAGCTAAACCTTATTCGCTCTGATTGGGTGCAAGCTAACTGGCAACCTGATAGGAGGAACAATTAAAGGGGTGAGGTTCCAGAGAAATCTAATCACCAGCCTTTTGCACAGTAGTTGTCAAGAAGTGGTTACTGAGAAAATAAACAACAAAAATAAGAACATTTTCAAATCAAACAAAGAAGATGCTGGCGTTCTCAGAACAATGTATTGACCACCCCAGAGTCCAGATCTGAATATCACTGAATGTGTTTGGGGTTAGTTGGATCGTGAGAAGCAGGAAAATGCAACCAACTTCTAAGACTGAACTGACTGAGGTGTGGGGAAAAAAATTAGCCTGTAATTTTCTGTTAAATTTATGTTTTCTGTTTTTTTTTCCTGATGCTAAAAATGAATTTGTACTTAATGACTTTTTTTCTGGAATTTATATAAGTGAAGGGTGGTCTCTGACTTTTACACACTGCTATATATTCATATTATATATGTATGCCATTCTTCTTCACAGCAGGTAAATGAAAGAAACTGAGCTTTGTTTCACTGTTTGATCGACTTCCACTATTAAAATGACCACAGACATTCACCATTAATTAGTCTTTTATTTGTTCAATGTGGTTATTTTAGTGTCTCCTGCTTGTCCTACAAGTTTAAAGCTGATTTTGATGTCACATGAAAAGGATCTATTAGTTAAAAAAAACACGGACATTAGCTGTATTTGTTGGATGAGCATAAGCTTTTGAACATGTGGGCCACTTTTACCTGTAGTGTGAACATAGCAATAAAATTGGTTTTATATTATTAAATACAGTGATTCCAAACTTGTAAATGATAGGGTAGAGTGTGTGTGTCCAATCCAATCTATCTGTATATGTGTGTGCTGTGTTTTGCAGGTGAAACTGAGTGACCGTGTGGTGGCCACTGACCATGGACTGCTGATCCGTTCGGTGCAGTCATCCGATCAGGGTCTTTATTACTGCCTGGCTACGGAGAATGGCTTCAAGCGTACTTTGGCTAAGATCCGCCTGCGTGTCCTGGCTGAGGCTGTGGTCAGCGCGCTCAGCGATAAGCAGCGTTCAGTCTGGGGCTGGGGCCTGAGCCCCAAAGCACTGGCCTCGGCCTTCAGCCCTGCGGAGACGCTGGCCATGCAGCAGTATTGCAAGGAGCGCAAACAGCTCCAGAGCTTTCAGGGGCCACTGAGAGGGGACCTGGCCAAACTGAAACCGCTGCTGGACCACAGCAAGAGCCGCAACCGCAGGAACCACTGACCCCAGGACGAGAGGGCTGGACAGAAGGAGATGAGGAGCAGTGTTGGAAAGAACTAGAGAGATGTATGGAGAAAAGAATGGAGGACATGAAACCTATTTGCAAAAAGGAGACGAAAGGATAAGCAAGGAGCACAGAGGCATTAAAGGGATATTTTGACAAAAAATCAAATGTACCCACTTTTCTCCTTTACACCTAATGTACTTAATCAGCCTAGACTTGTTTGGTGTCTGAAGTTTGCTTCTTTAGTTTTACACTGGAGCTACAAGGCTAATGTAGCACTCATGTAGGCCAAATAGCATGGCGCTAACTATCTAGAGAAATCATCATGCACTTGTTCAGACCATGTTGAGTTGTATATGTGTATGTATTGTTAGCTACATTAGCCTTGTAGCTCCTGGACAAAACTAAAGAAGCCAATTTCAGACACTAAAAGTGTCTTGGTTCATTCACTATATTTGGGATAAGGGGTAAATTGTTTACATTTGATTTTTCACCAGATTATCACTTTAAAATTACTCCTTTAATATGGACCTTGTTTTTTTTGCTCCTCAAGCTTCCAGCACCATAGGCTGGGTGCTTCTGTACAGAACTGTTAAATGCATGAGGTACGCTGACCAGATGACTGTGATCCACCACACACACATGCGCACGCATGTTTAAGCTTGCTTATGGAACTTTCTCCTGTCCTAACGAACTACGGCATGTGATTTTTTAACAAGGAAGTCCAACCAGTGTTCCAGATGTATGCATAACTCAATAGTTGAGATATAAACAAAATAATTCAGAGTGGTTTAATGTGAAATGGTTCATTGTGGAGAAACTTACCGACCGATTTCTTTACAGTGGTGGTGATAGAAACCAAGGATCACGGTGTCTAAAGCACAAATATAGCCATTTTATTTACTATCCAGAATCACCAGTGAACCTACATGTGTCTTGTGAGTTTTTACATGTAATGTTAATGATGATAAAATATGAAGAAAAATGTTTTTTGGGGACTATTTTGCCCTGTAACACCTGCATGTACATCTCTGCCTTGAATGGCTTTAAAAATATAAATTTTGGACCAGAACCTTCTCAAAATTGTCAAAACAATGGCATCAGGCATCATATTTATAACCATTTCATGTGACAGCTTTCTGTGAGGGCTGTTGGATGTCTGGCTTCTATCACCATCACTGTGAACAATTCTGACTCAGAAGGTTCTCTAGAACAGAGCATTTCACATCAAACCACTGAACGACTTTGTTTACATCTTAACCGTTTAATAATGCAGAAATGTTGAAAAATTGGTGGAAAGCTCTAGCTGCGTTTAATGTTTCATTACAAACTGGTAACTTACTAATTGAGCATAATACAGTACACATGTATGCACAGTTTAGAGACTCTGTAATGGAAAACTCAACAGAATGTTACATCCAGGTGTATTAATAATCCAGGCTTAAGCCTGGCAGATGAAACACAGGCAACGTTTGAGAAGAAATATGTTTCTCATATGCTTGGAATGAGGTACCATAAGCACAGCAGTGTCTCCATAAACAGCATTTATCCAGTGTTAGGCTGTGGCAAAGAGTGGGAGAAAAAAGATTTCTGCAACATAATATCCTGATATTTTGGATGAAAAATAACAGTGAAACACAGAGGTTCAGGTTTCAATGTTTTATTATTTAATTATTTATTAATATTTTTAATGCATATTAAGCCCATTGGTAGTCTAATAGGGCAGTAAAATCCATTGTTTTTCTCTCTCTGGTGAAAACATTGAGTCAGTGAACACATTTACATGCACTTTATAATCAGATCATTATCGGACTTCTGCATTTATCTGATTATTCAAGTGGTCATGTAAACAGCAAATTTCTTAGATTGGTGTAAGGCATAGAAATCTGATTAAGAAACCTGATAAAGAGAGCTGGATTTTAGCTTAGAAATTGGGTTTTTTAGTGCATTTATACTCTTACTCTGATTTCTTTCTTTAAGCGTTTCAGTAAACACAGTAAGCAGCGTTTAACGCAGCACCTGCAAGATGGCAACAAAACACTTTTGGAGCGACATTGAAACCAACTACATGCTTGATGAAATGAAGGATTTAAATATTCTTCATCTTCAAGATGATGTATATTCATATTTTCTGGTAAAGTGACTTGATAAAAAAAGAGGTGTGGCATGACAATAAGCTTACGTTTTATTTTGTGAGGTTATTGGCTGGTTTATTGCCTGATTCATGCGGACCCAGCGTTTCCCATTATCTGATTACCCAAGTGCATGTAAACACGTTGGATTTCTGGCAAAATCTGATTTTCTGCAGTTATCAGATTATTATGCGTATGTAAACGCTCTCAGTGTTGCCTTGTCTAATTCACAAATTTGTTTTGCTTTATTGAAGTGATTGAAGTGAAAATGTGGTAATTAAAATGGAGCAAGTTTGCTTTTAGAGGCTTAATATGTCATCGTAATTAATTGCATTATGACATATTGCAACACTTCGCACACTGCAATTCTTTAAAATAGTAGAATTGTCTCAAATAGCTTCTGCACACTTTGGAGATGACAGTTTACAGCAAATGTGTTTCAGATTTATAGCAGTGGACTGTAATTCAACACACTACATTGCTGTACTTCAGACTGACCATCAGGGCTATTTCAGAGAAAACTACAGTAGAGCTTTATACTCTGCTGATAATCACACAATGTCCTGTACAAACTCATGGTAGTAAATACAGTTGCACCATTTTGTTGAATTGGTCTCTTACAGTAAAATCTTCCTTCTCATAAACCGCTGTTTGTGCTCGCAGAATGGGTGCCATGAGAATAATTTACCATTCAAAATGAAAACATACCGGACAGGCCAAAGTACATTAACCCAGCTGTAACACAGATGTTGTGAGAGAGAGAGAGAGAGAGATAGAGAGAGAGAGAGAGAGAGAGAGAGAGAGAGAGAGAGATAGAGAGAGAGAGAGAGAGAGAGAGAGAGAGAGATAGAGAGAGAGAGGGAGAAACAGATGGATAAAGATGGAACCTAGAATAAACTGTTTTAGGAAAATTCATACAGTAGGTTCGTACTGTAGGTTATTGCTTTTCTACTTCAACACACTTCTGACAGCATAACAACGTTGCACTTTGTGTTTCAGATTTCTTAAGATTGTTCACTACAAAAGTGTTTTAAGACATTTTATAAACTGCCTAAAGTTATTTTTATTTTACAAAACTAACAGAAGTGTTTGAATTACAAATAATATTAAGCTAGTATTTTAATGTTAATACCCAAGTATTTACACCACTTCTCTTGCCATCCTGTACTTTGTACCTCCATTCACTGACCAATTTATCATCTCCACCTACCTTATAGATCCACTATTCAGACTGTAGTCCATCTGTTGCTGCACAGTTTATCAGACCCCTTCTACTCGATTCATCGTTGATCAGTATCTGATCACTGTTGTCCAGATATCATTTGGATGGTGGATCATTCTTAGCTCAGCAGTGACACTGACATGGTAGTGGTCATCATAGTGTGTGTGGTGCTGATATGAGCGTGTCAGGCATGGCGGTGTTGCTGGATTTTTACACACGTCCGTGTGAAAGTGGTCCACCACCTAAAAACATCCAGCCAAGAGCAGCTCTGTGGTCGGAAACTGACCACTGATGAAGGGCTAGACTATGGCCAACACAACCTGTGCATGAACAGATGAGCTACAGCAATGGTTACCAACTTTGGTCATGGAGAGCTGTCTTCTTGCAGTGTAGGCGAATGTAGGCAGAGCCTAGTTCCAACCGCAGTCTGCGACACCTGCTCCAGCTAATTAACTTCGTCTGAAGGCCCTGATCGGCTCGGTCAGATACTTTAGTGTAAGGTAAGGGGAGACACAGCGTGTTAGAGGAAGGTTGGAACTAAACTCTGCAGGAAAGCAGCTCAGTGGTACTGGTGACCACTGAGCTACAGTCTCCAACTGCACACCAGCAAGGCGGAGCTTCAGTCGTATGGAAAAGTTTAAACAGGTTTTAGTGATTTTCTAGTGAAAATAAGTCAACATGTCCTCTAAATATTAACTTAAACATAAATATGGTAAATATACACATTCTAGTGCACAATTTCTATTTATTCGCTGAGTTTAACATATTGAAACAAATAAAACATAAAATACAAAATGTGCCACAACTTTTGCACAGGCCACATTTTGTGTTTCATTATTTTATATATTTTATATATGTTAAATTAAGAAAATACAGAAAAATAATTGTGCATTAAACTGTGCCAAAGTGTGTTCTCTGTAGAGTTTATATGAACTTGTCTTCACTTAGAAAATCAACAAAATATCTAATTTAACAAAACCTTTGCATATGACTGTACAAGAGAAGGGTTTGTGCTGAGTGGCTGGTGAGTGTAGGGCCTTGGTTCATGCAGTTTTATTAGTCCTGAATAACCGTGCTGTTTGGGAGTGTTCTGTTGTCCCTCTATAGTTAGTCAATTTCATCTTCTACAGGTTCGCTGTTCACATTAGTTCATGCTTGGGGCTTAAAAATGCTAGAGTTAGCGCTGTATGTGTACAGATTTTTTTTATCACTGATTGCTGTTCTGTGTAACTTATGCCATTTTGTAAAATGCTGTTTTTAGTGTTTTGAACATAGTGTAAAATAGTTGAGGATTCAGTTCCATTTCAGTCCAGCCAAACTCAGGAAATGTTCATAAATTCAACCTGGTAATTAAATTAAATTTACACTTTAAGTGAAGTTATGAGCGGCGGTGTTAGTTAGTGTGTTAAATTCATTCCCTGAATTAGCAGCTCTGAAGTGGAGCGGATCCCTGATGTACCGAGAGTTTTTTGGCACAATTTCTGACGGAATCTGCAGTTTGCAGAGAAGCAGCGACTCCGTTTTTACATTTTTACAGTTTCCTCTTTACAAAGAGAACAAATAAATTAACAGTGTGATGCTATTGTAATATTTCTATCTTTTAACATGGGTGAAATGTGTTTTCCTCAGCAAGTGTCAATGTCTTTCATTAAATGTTGTTCTAAATTGTGTATTTCTATTTATTAATGTTATATGCCTGAATAATTGCATTAAACATCATTTAAAATGTTTGCTGTTGAGCATCTCTCGAGCATTCACACATTTCTTAAGTCAGTAAACACCCGGAGCGGATTTTAGGGCCTTAACACTGGAGGAATTTATTCTTCAGTGTTTATTGGGCATGGCACCAAATATCGTTCAGCATCTGTTCATAACTGTGAAGGCAGCTTGGCATAAATGACCATATTCATAATCCATGTGCTTCATTGGAGACTCATTCTTGCAGCTCTGAATACCAATGCAACACTGATTGTCCTAAATCAGTCAGAATTTAATTTCAAATACAATATTGAGGCCCAGCTAAGTGAGCAATGTTGGTAATTATAGAGCTGCCATGTGCAACTTGACTTGAGAGACCCATAAAATGTATGAAATCTATGCTATATACTTTGGTCTGTTTATGTAGATATCACAGTGTCCGAAACCAAAAAGCAAGTCTATTTGAGATTACTTAACACCTCAACACAGTTCAAGGCAAGTGGGTGGTTTTAGGCGTGCAGTTAGCACAATGCTAATTGGTAGGGTATAAGCTTGCTTTACTTGTTAGCTATAGTAGCCTCATAGCTAGGGCTAAAACCTAAGAAGCAAAATTTAGACACTAAATATGTTTTGGCCGGTCGGTGGACCAACTGTGCATATCAGATTTTTTGGCAAAGTATCGCTTTAGGCTTAGAAATGCGCTCAACTCTCGAAACAAACAGAACTGAACTCCAGGTAAAGGCTTATTCTTCACTTTGATTTCTCTGAAATACTCCTCCATCTGAGACCAAATGGAGCTTAACGCAGAGCGAGTAACAGCAGGAGGCGACTGAGGCTCATTTAAAGCTCGTAAATCCGAGAGCAGACTGCTGCACCCGTTTCCCCACAATACAAACCCTCCAGAGTCCTGTTCAGCCTCTGAGTGAGCAGCCAGCAGGCCACAGCTTCCTGTCCCAGTCTCTTTTACCAGCCTCTGTGGCACGGGCCAGGTGGAAACCCAATAATCTAACTTTAATAGGCGCAATAGAGCAGCCAATTTTTTGTTTTGCAGACCTTGACTTAACCCTTTAAACACGCATGTGGGCCGACACTTCACTTCCTCTCACAACTGCATAACTTTCGTATCATTTTCATAGCAGTTTCCAAATAATTTATAGTAGTTCCTGGGTCATTCTTAGTAGTTAGTGAATAAAGCCTTAAGATTTGGTTTCCAGTGGTTTTCACTTGCAGGCACGTTTTTTCGACTTTTGACCTTGGCAGCAATAACAATCATGTGAAATTACGCCTTTGAGATTTGCAAAAATTTGATCCCAAGATACTCAACCAAGACTTTCACATTCTTCCCTTTATTGAATTTGCCAACCTGCACAAAACAGCACCAATATCACGTCCATTCTGAAGAGAAGCACTGAAAAAATAGAGTAAAAATGAACAAATACCCCTGGTTTAACCGTCATGGATGTTAGCCTAATTTGGCTAGTAGTTAAATTTTTTTTTTTTTTACCAAGAAACAGAAGAGCTGAGTGAGTTGGCCTGCTACAGAATTAAGTGTGCTTCCTAGAGCTGCTTTGTCAAAAGTTACCTGATCAGACCATGTTGTCTATGAAATAAGGAACAGCTGGATTTCAGAAATACTTAAATTTTGTTAATGCTACTGCTCAAAATGGAATCAGGTAACTTTTCCCAAACCAACCCTGATCAAATACTTTTCAAATAATTCAGAATACAAAAATTACTGTACACGATTCAGATAACCCAATTAATATAAAGTGCTACATTGAAAAACAGAAATCATACAAAAGCAGCATTTGTGTGGAACATCGCTCAGGCAATTATTTTGCGCCTTCTGCGCTCCTGTATGCATATTCCAATCAAACACAGCACAAACACTACTGCACCAATCACTATGAGCGATATCTGCACCACCTCCAGCGTCTCCATCCGTGCGAAAAGTTCACTTTTGATCCTGTCTGCCGTCTGGTCATCAAGAACTGCCGACTAACAGAGAGGAGAGAGCAGACAGACACCAGTGATTGGAGCTTATGCTTTTCAAATATAGGCAAGTTAAAGAATGACTTGATCTAATGAGCCTCAAGTCTAGATATATTGGTAGAAAATGATTGGACCTAATGTTCCTCAAGTGTAGATAAACTTAGTAGACTAGCAAATGGACCTAATGCTGTTCAGGTGTGGGTAAACTAAAAGAAGACTGATTAGACCTAATGTTCCTTAAGTGTAACTAAGTCAGTAGAGGAGTGATTAGAGCTAATGCTCCTTAAGTGTAGGTAAGTCAATAGAAGACTGATTGGACCTAATGTTCCTTAAGTGTAGCTAAGTCAGTAGAGGAGTGATTGGAGCTAATGCTCCTTAAATCTAGGTAAGTCAGTAGTGGAGTGATTGGACCTAATGCTCCTTAGGTGTTAGTTAGTTAGTAGTAGAGTGTTTGGACCTAATGTTCCTCAAGTGTAGATAAACTTGGTAGACTAGCAAATGGACGTAATGCTGTTCAGGTGTGGGTAAACTAAAGGAAGACTGATTGTATGTTATACTCTACAAATGTAGGTAAGTTATAAATGAATGGTCAGACCTAATGGGTTTCAGGCGCTGTTAAGTAGCTAAGTAAGGCAGTGGAAGAGTAACTGGATCTTATGCTCCTCACACATAGGTAAGTTAGTCGAAGACTGATTGGACCTAATGCTCTGTAAGTGTAGCTAAGTCAGTAGAGGAGTGATTGGATCTAATGCTCCTTAAGTGTAGGAGCAATTGAAGTAGTAGAATGATTGGACCTAATGCTCCTTAAGTGTAGGTGAGTCAGTAGAGGAGTGATTGGATCTAATGCTCCTTAAGTGTAGGAGCAATTGACGTAGTAGAATGATTGGACCTAATGCTCCTTAAGTGTAGGTGAGTCAGTAGAAGAGTGATTGGACCTAATGCTGCCTAAGTGTAGCTAAGTCAGTAGAGGAGTAATTGGACCTAATGCTCCTTAAGTGTAGGAGCAATTGAAGTAGTAGAATGATTGGACCTAATGCTCCTTAAGTGTAGGTGAGTCAGTAGAAGAGTGATTGGACCTAATGCTCCTTAAGTGTAGGTGAGTCAGTAGAAGAGTGATGGGACCTAATGCTCCTTAAGTGTAGGTGAGTCAGTAGAAGAGTGATTGGATCTAATGCTCCCTAAGTGTAGCTAAGTCAGTAGAGGAGTGATTAGACCTAATGTTCCTTAAGTGTAGATAACACAGTAGTGGAGTGATTGGACCTAACGCTCCTTAAGTGTAGGTAAGTCAGTAGAGATGTGATTGTCCCTAATGCTCCTTAAGTGCAGGTAAGTCAGTAGAGGAGTGATTAGACCTAATGCTCCTTAAGTGTAGGTAAGTCAGTAGAGGAGTGATTGGACCTAATGCTCCTTAAGTGTAGGTTAGTTAGTAGTAGAATGATTGGACCTAATGCTCCTTAAGTGTAGGTAAGTCTGTAAAGGAGTGATTGGACCTAATGCTCCTTAAGTGTAGGTAAGTCTGTAAAGGAGTGATTGGACCTAATGCTCCTTAAGTGTAGGTAAGTCTGTAAAGGAGTGATTGGACCTAATACTCCTTAAGTGTAGGTAAGTCAGTAGAGGAGTGATTTGACCTAATGCTCCTAAAGTGTAGGTAAGTCAGTAGTGGAGTGATTGGACCTAATGCGCCTTAAGTGTAGGTGAGTCAGTAGAAGAGTGATTGGACCTAATGCGCCTTAAGTGTAGGTGAGTCAGTAGAAGAGTGACTGGACCTAATGCTCCTTAAGTGTAAGTTAGTTAGTAGTAGAATGATTGGACCTAATACTCCGTAAGTGTAGGTAAGTCAATAGAGGAGTAATTGGACCTAATGCTCCGTAAGTGTAGGTAAGTCAATAGAAGACTGATTGGACCTAATGTTCCTTAAGTGTAACTAAGTCAGTAGAGGAGTGATTGGAGCTAATGCTCCTTAAATCTAAGTAAGTCAGTAGTGGAGTGATTGGACCTAATACTCCTTAGGTGTTAGTTAGTTAGTAGTAGAGTGTTTGGACCTAATGTTCCTCAAGTGTAGATAAACTTAGTAGACTAGCAAATGGACTAAACTAAAAGAAGACTGATTGTATGTTATACTCTACAAATGTAGGTAAGTTATAAATGAATGGTCAGACCTAATGGGTTTCAGGCGCTGTTAAGTAGCTAAGTAAGGCAGTGGAAGAGTAACTGGATCTTATGCTCCTCATACATAGGTAAGTTAGTCGAAGACTGATTGGACCTAATGCTCCGTAAGTGTAGCTAAGTCAGTAGAGAAGTGATTGGACCTAATGCTCCTTAATGTAGTTAAGTCAGTAGAGAAGTAATTGGACCTAATGCTCCTTAAGTGTAGCAGCAATTGAAGTAGTAGAATGATTGGACCTAATGCGCCTTAAGTGTAGGTGAGTCAGTAGAAGAGTGATTGGACCTATTGTTCCTTAAATGTAGGTAAGTCAGTAGAGGAGTGATTGGACCTAATGCTCCTTAAGTGTAGCTGAGTCAGTAGTGGAGTGATTGGACCTAATATTCCTTAAGTGTAGGTGAGTCAGTAGAAGAGTGATTGGACCTAATGCTCCTTAAGTGTAGGTAAGTCAGTAGAGGAGTAATTTGACCTAATGCTTCCTAAGTGTAGGTAAGTTAGTAGTGGAGTGATTGGACCTAATGCTCCTTAAGTGTAAGTTAGTTAGTAGTAGAGTGATTGGACCTAATGCTCCTAAAGTGTAGGTTTGTTAGTGGCAGAATGATTGGATCTAAAGCTGCTTAAGTGTAGGTTAGTTAGTAGTAGAGTGTTTGGACCTAATGTTCCTCAAGTGTAGATAAACTTAGTAGACTAGCAAATGGACTAAACTAAAAGAAGACTGATTGTATGTTATACTCTACAAATGTAGGTAAGTTATAAATGAATGGTCAGACCTAATGGGTTTCAGGCGCTGTTAAGTAGCTAAGTAAGGCAGTGGAAGAGTAACTGGATCTTATGCTCCTCATACATAGGTAAGTTAGTCGAAGACTGATTGGACCTAATGCTCCGTAAGTGTAGCTAAGTCAGTAGAGAAGTGATTGGACCTAATGCTCCTTAAATGTAGTTAAGTCAGTAGAGAAGTAATTGGACCTAATGCTCCTTAAGTGTAGCAGCAATTGAAGTAGTAGAATGATTGGACCTAATGCGCCTTAAGTGTAGGTGAGTCAGTAGAAGAGTGATTGGACCTATTGTTCCTTAAATGTAGGTAAGTCAGTAGAGGAGTGATTGGACCTAATGCTCCTTAAGTGTAGCTGAGTCAGTAGTGGAGTGATTGGACCTAATATTCCTTAAGTGTAGGTGAGTCAGTAGAAGAGTGATTGGACCTAATGCTCCTTAAGTGTAGGTAAGTCAGTAGAGGAGTAATTTGACCTAATGCTTCCTAAGTGTAGGTAAGTTAGTAGTGGAGTGATTGGACCTAATGCTCCTTAAGTGTAAGTTAGTTAGTAGTAGAGTGATTGGACCTAATGCTCCTAAAGTGTAGGTTTGTTAGTGGCAGAATGATTGGATCTAAAGCTGCTTAAGTGTAGGTTAGTTAGTAGTAGAGTGTTTGGACCTAATGCTTCTTAAGTGTAGGTAAGTCAGTAGAGGAGTGATTGGACCTAATGCTCCTTAAGTGTAGGTAAGTCAGTAGAAGAGTGATTGGACCTAATGTTCCTTAAGTGTAGCTAAGTCAGTAGAAGACCGATTGGACCTAATGCTCTTTAAGTGTAGGTTAGTTAGTAGAAGAGTGATTGGACCTAATGCTCCTTAAGTGTAGGTTATTTAGTAAAAGAATGGCTAATGTTTTCAAGCACAAGTATACTTGATAAGCTTTAGACTATCAGTGGATTCTTTGCAGGAGTTACTAACACCTTTAATCCATCCTTTCTGCAATGTTTTTACACATCATTGTAAAGAAGTGGTATATTTCTGGTTTCCCAAGTAACATCCCCATATCTGACTTCGAGACTTTGAATGAGAGTAAATACTGGGGTGATGAAGTGACTGGTCCTAAAGCACCTCTCTAAAATGTGGACCTACAAGCTTAAATCTTTCAACACATCCTCACCTCATTCAGCCACACAATAGGAAACATTGTGTTTTCTTTTACTTTGTTAAGGATCCTGCAACAGAGAGAGAGAGAGAGAGAGAGAGAGAGAGAGAGAGATCATGTAAATTTGCAAATGTACCTAACAAAATGGCAGTTTTAGAAAACTGAATTTTCATCTTACTTAATTTCCTTGGATGGACCATACATCATGTTGATTTGAAGCCTTTTGGCGAATCCCAGAGTGAAGCCTGTGATCTGGCAGACAAACAACACAATAATTCAGTTCAATTGCAGTTCCTCTAAATATAAGGCCATCTTGAATTCTATAGTTGTAGCTTCACTGGCCACATTATCAGAAACTCCCTCCTTTAGCTGGTGTACAGTTAGAGACTGTAGCTCATTTGTTGATGCACATTTTTAGTTAGTCATTCTCTTGCCCTTCATCAATCAACAGAGTTGCTCTTGTCTGGATATTTTTGGGCGGTGGTCCACTCTCAACCTAGCACTGACACTGATGTGTGTAAAAACCGCAACAACACCTGATACCAGCACCACACACACTACCATGACCACTGCCCTGTCAGTGTCACTGCTGTGCTGAGAACGATACACCACCCAAATGATAACTGAACACCAGTAGTTGTGGTCAGAAACTGACCAGTGATGAACAGCGTGGAGGGCACCGATAAACTGTGCAGCAACACATGATTTACAGTCTGTAATTGTACACCTATGTAGTGGAACTATACGATAGTTGGAGCTCATAAAGTGCGTGTCAGTGGAGATGCGGGGTGTAAAAACCATTAGCTCATGCATGCACTGTAATACACTTAAGTTTCTTACTGGTTCCACATCTAGATATGTGGAGTGTTCCTCAGGGTTGGGGTTCAGTCCATGAACAGTGTCCAGCAGGTCTGGGCTGCCATGGAGGAAATGAGGCAGGGAGATAAACACAGGAGATCCTGCAAAACACACCAAAATCTTTCACTGCTAGGGTGTTAAACATGCATCAGTCTGAAGGTGGAGTGATTCTGCAATGTTACAATCATTTATAATATTTTTTTAATTAGAACATAAAACATGCTCTACAACTATGTTCAAACGTAAAAATCCAAAAAATAGATGAGCTATTGCCTCTGACTTTACATCTACAAGGTGGACCAACAAGGTAGGTGTGTCTAATAGAGTGGACAGTGAGTGGACACAGTGCTTAAAAAACTCCAGTAGCACTGCTGTGTCTGATCCAGTCGTACCAGCGCAACACACACTAACACACCACCACCACATCAGTGTCACTGCAGTGCTGAGAATGATCCACAAACCAAATAATACCTGCTCTGTGGTGGTCCAGTGGGGGTCCTGACCATTGAAGAACAGGATAAAAGGGGGCTCTATATATATATATATATATATATATATATATATATATATGTATATATAAGCAAAAGTCTGAGCGTATGTCTGCATGTAAAGCTCTATAACAATAGTGCAATAGTGTGTGTAAACAGTTCAATTTGTGTATTGAGTGTATTTTTAAAAATATTTCTGATTCTTATAAAAATTATTGACTTAAATTATTTAATTAATTATTTGCATTCGAATCTTGGTGAATTGTGAGATACATTTAATCATTTCCTAAAGAACCGCAAAAGAATTGAATTAGAGGTACAGAGACACAGCCCTGCTCACTAGTGCATGCACGTTTGGCTATAGCAGTTGAGCTGGAAGCAGATTTACACCTGCTGGTACTTTGGGACCTGCAGTTTGAAAGTCGATCCTCAAGCAGTGCGCCAAGAGCCAAACCTGACTACTGCTGCACCAGAGGAGCAATGGACTGTGGGAAAACTGCTGCAACAACCTGATCTCATATAGAGTTTAGCAGAAATTGTCACAGGAGAGGGTGGATTTAGAATTTTGAGCACCTATAAATGAAGTCATCAAGAGACCACTACACCCTGGGCCTGACCTTAAAGTGAAAGTGAAAAATGATAACAGAAAAAATCTAATCTAATTTAATTTTACAATTAGCCAGGACATGTTTGGTGTCTGAAGTTTGCTTCCTTTTTTACACTGGAGCTATAAGGCTAATAATGGAACCTTATCTCCCACCATTCACCATGGTGCTAACTGCATGCTTGAATTATCACACACTTCCCTCAAACCGTGTTATTAAGTAACCTCAGATAGATTTGCTTACAGTGACAGAAAGTCTATTTGAGATTGCTTGGCTATGGTTCTGGAAGCTTTTGAAGCAACAGAAAATGAGGTCCATATTAGGGGAACTGTTTTAAAGCAATTATTAAAAAGCAATATTTTGTATATATACAAAGTTCTGTGCATAAGTTTTAGGCAACTGAGAAAATGATCTTTAAAGAGCTGTTTATGTGGCTGATCTCCCATGAAGACTGTCCAGTGTAACCTGCTAAAGGTGACCTCTAGGGCTAATGTTTCCAATGTTACTGTTATTGGAGCCATCAGCTTTGAGTTTTGCTTGTAAGTGATGCTTTAGACTTGACACCCTTAAGTGATAAACAAATTCACGGTGCAGCAGTAGCTGGAAATAACTTTTCACGAGAGCTTTATCAGGTGAGCCATCAACTGGAACTTGCCATTTAAAAGCTGTAAAACTGGCCTACAGTCGTGGAGTCATAGCACCAGCGGGCAAATAGCTCGACTTCAGGCTGGAACTACAGATAGTTAGAAGGGTCAAACCAGGATATATACACTATTCTACCTTATACATGTAGAACCTTTCTGAAAACGGTTCTATATAGCACCAAAAAGGGTCTTCCAAGCTTGACATTGCATGTAATGGTTCTACATAGAACTCTTGGTTCTGAACATTTACTAAAGAACTCTTGACGAACCATCTTTTGTGTGTATACATTGCTGTGAAAAAGTATTTGCTCCTTCACAGTTTCTTCTATTTTTGCTAATTTGACACACTGAAATGTTTCAGAACCTTTTGTAATGTGGACAGGGCTTCGGACCCCTTCTCCGCAGAGGAATGTGATGATTTTGAGTGCGTTGGTGAACAACAAGATGGTGAATGATCTACTATTGTGATCATATCTTCATTTGAGACCTAAACATTGAGCCGGACCTTCTTTTTGAGCCTGTGCGTGTGATGTATGATGTATGATGTGGATATGACGCCAACAGGCCCACACTGACCTTTACATGTCTTGATGTCCAGAACACCTGCCATGGTGCAGTTCTTGGTGGCTTCATAATTGGTGCAGTAGCACTTATTGTCCGGATTGACTAGAGGTGAGGCAAATGTTTGCTCAGGCAGCATGTAGCGATACACAGTGATTCCTTTCAAATCCACACTGCCCTCGTAGTCTGCAGATACCGACCTGGGGGAGAAAAACACACCTGATAATGAGGAACAGGCATTGGGAATGTTTGGGTTTTATATGCAACAATGTTAAAGTTTCATTCACTCCTCAATCCGTACAGTCCATATATGTAAACTAAGCTGCACAAACAGCCTGTTTTGAATTAATTAATTTGTGAAGTCACAAAAAGCAACACATTTACATATCCACCCATTCAGCCCACAGCAATTTAGCTCTGTCGGTCTCTTTAAGTTATAAGAAGGTCAAACAGAACAGAGCTCATTTACATATATCAGTCTTGAAGGCACAGAAACACAAACAGCCTGTTTAATTTTAAGGATATGGACAGGTTGGACATGGTCATGTAAAAGAACCATGTCTGTTTTTGGTACTTAAAACAACACAAACATCATATGTGGGCCTCAGTAAAATGCCCATACCTTACATTGTCATAGTATTTTATTGAAAGACATTTAAAGAGCTCTGTGCTTTTGATGTCAAGGTATTATTATACAATAGTAACTACAGCCATGATTCTATCTGCTTAAACCAAAAAAGAGACACTTTATTCTTGTCACATTTCATTCTTATAAGATAAAGCAGTTTCAGCTTTAGCACCCCTGCTCACCCCCAAAAGCTCTGCCTACATTTACGGGTGGAGACAGGAAAAGAGAACAAGAAGGAGAAGAGGGTGATGGCCTGTGTATTGAGGTGGTGTAGCCTGACCTCTGGTGGCAGCAGGGTTAAAACAGGCATTAAAAGAGTTAAATCCAGTTGGAAAGGCATTTGTACCGCTTCAAAGTCATAGCTAAGCTGACAGAGAGATAGTACTGAAGACTAATCTACAGACAAGAGAGTAAAGTCCAGAAAAATCTTTTTTTAGGGAGGATTTGACAGAGAGCGGAGAGTAACATGAAGTTCAGGACTAGAATAGAATAGAATAGAATAGAATAAAAATTTCAATGACATTTTTATCGAAATGATTTGCAACTCACCTATTTTTTTCTGTTTTTTCTTTTTGGCCTATATTTTAGAAGTTAACCCCTTCATAGTACATCAGTCTTCAGTTAAGAATAGCGGGTCAGTTTGTCTTTATTTAGGGCTTAATGGTGATTTATTATTCATGTACTGATACAAATCAAAAAACACTCAGTGCTCAGGTTGTACACAAGGTTAAGATCTACAGTACTGTGCAAAAGTCAAAGATCACCATTCATTTTTTTTTAATTTCCAGTCAAAATGATTATTAAGAATAAGTTATTCATTTTTTCAGCACTAGGAAAAAAAGCAGAAAACATAATTAACAGAAAATTACAGAGAGATCTCAATAACTAAACATGATATACTTTTTTAGTGTTTAGTGTTCCACTCTTTGCCATTATTACCGCTTCCATTCTTTTCAGGAGACTTGCTTTCCAGCTTTTCAAAGAAATCTGCAGGGATATTTTTCCACACCTCCAAAGTTCAGTCTTAGAAGTTGGTTGTATTTTCTGCTTCCCACAAGCCAAGTAATACCAAACACATTCAGTGATGCTGAGGTCTGGACAGGTGAGGTGGTCAGTCCATTGTTCTGAGAACACCAGCAGCTTCTTTGTTTGATTTGTGAATGTTTTTTCTTTTCTGTTTATTATCTGCACATACTTTCAGAGTCATAATTTTGCATTATCTTCTCACAGTGGAAGGATGGACAGAAACACCTGTGGTTCTGGAGTGAGAGTGGAACTTGATTTTCTCCTCTCTCTCAAAGATGAAAGCTTTAAGTGCTGTTTATCTGATGGTGACATTTTTGGTGGTCTACCAGGTCTTGATTGTTAGTAGTCCACTTTTGTGTATCTGTATCTTTTAATCATTTTTTGAACTCCAGTTTTGAAAACCTGTTTTTTTACTCCTTTCCCTTTGACTTTCCCTTCCTTATAAAAGTGGATTATCGTATATCTAATCTCCTCAACAATATCTCCTTAAACATGAATAGCTTGCACTTAATGACCATTTTGACTGGAAATAATTCAATGAATGGAGGTCACCGTATATGTTTTTAAACACCAGCTGCCCTTTGCATTGTGTGAACATTTCATGATGAATCATCAATGATAATAATCCAAAATGACTTAAAATACAATCTTCAATCTCCTACAATAACATTCAAAAACATTAAAAGTAAGAAGGCTTTTTTTGTGCTTTTGTCCTATAAATTCAGCACTTCAGAGATAAGAGGTTTTCTTATGATAGCAATGTTATCTATATATACACAGGAAAATACCTTGGAACACGTGTCGAGTTGTAAGGTCAAAGTGACAGGAATCCAATACATAACAGTAGAACCGCACACGCAATGGGAAATGATTAACGAGAGATGATGATTACAGATCGACATTCTTTATTGGCTGAAAATGAACCATACCTGCAGATGTCAGAGGAGAAGAAGTACAGAGCCTTTTTCTTGTCCAGGAAAGGAGGGAAGGAAGAGCCATCTGTACAGATACAAGCCTGTCAGTCTGATGAACTGATTCAATTCTAATAGTCAATAATTACCGTGAAAAAGCAATTACATACAACAGGGTTGTTTAATCTTTCCTAGTTCTTTCCTAGCTCACTGGGTAAAAAGCAGGTTAAAATAGGTGCATTCTAACAGGAAAAACAAATTCGGTTTACAGCAAACATCTAAAAGCCTGACATAAAAGCATGCCGTCATTTTACATGAATTGTTCCTGCCTCATTAAAATAAATGGGGAAATTGTGTGGGGAGTTTGTAAATTGGCTCTAAACTTCCAACGATACCTCATTAGTGTCTGTAAGTAAAAGAGGAGATATTTTATTAAAATTGGATACATTTTTGCTCTGTTCTTGTCAATTTTTGACAGAAACAAAGCTGCAGACTCGATACAGAATGGTAAATCTAATGGAAGCGTTTTCAGGTTTTAAATGGTAACATAGCAAAATGACAATAATAGCTCTGGACTTGTAAAGGCTACCCACGTGCAAAGATTGACTGGGCTGTTAATCGTTAATCGATAAGTTTCTGTTGTTATCTGTCATTTATGAATTTTAGCAGGCTGATACTGTGCCTATTGCGGACTGGACGTTAAACATTTACCTTCTTAATGAGGGTAAATAAAGCTCACCTGTTCCATTGATCATGTTGCAGTAAGGGTCGTTCCAGTACGGCACTGTCCTGAAGCACAGAGACAAATACAGTTACGTGTGTATCAGGTCTACAGGTCTGTGAGCCAAATTCACAAAGCCCATCACTGTCTCTTTAAAGGTGCATTAGGCAGTGTTTGATTGTGTTTGTTTGTTTCGTCTGTTTTGCATATGTCACTGCAGTGTTGCCATGACAACTGTAGGAAAGAAACGAAATTGTCACAGCTCAGGGACGGCCACGAGCCTTCACTTCCTGTCACCGTGTGACTTTACATGTAATATGAAATAATAAAGTTACTGTTTATGAGTTAAACACATTTCAATAGAAGAAAGAGTTGAAAAGATGTTAAATTACTTGTTATCTGAAGGGCTTTTATAGAAAAATTTGCATGTTTGGAAGCGTTTTGGAAGAAAAACTGTTTCCTTCGAATTTGTTTTTTGAAAGAAACATGGTTCATTTAGTGGCTTCCTTGAGGGAAAGTATATTGTTTTTTGGAGAGAAAATCTTATTTTGAGGGCATTTTGGAGCTAAGGTCCCTTCTTTGGAGGTCATTTCCTTCTTCTGATGCTTTTCGTGGGAGGAAGTGTTTTTGAGGCTTTTAGAGGGAAAATTCTTTCTTTGGAGGCTTTTTGAAGTGTAAATTCTTATTTGTGTGTCTCCTGTCCATGCTACTGCTCAACATAGACACAAACAAGCAAGCAAACAAACAAACGATAAATAAATGACACAAAATAAGTAACAGATCCCTCCACACTCACGGCTGATTCTGCCAGGTATCAATCATGGACACTCTGGTGATGTCGTCTTTGCCTGTGAACACGCCGTAAGGTCCATCATAGGTGTTGTTGTACTGAACAAAGCAAAACAGATATGAGCGATCTAACCACTAGAATGTAAAATATACAAAAGTATAAGCTCATACAGTAAATTATACAAGTCAAAAGTTTGGTTTACATGCTGGAAACTATTATTTCATAACTTCCAATGGTATGTCCATATACAATAAATTAGCATGAAAACAAAATAATTCTGCATAATTTTGTATCAATATATATATATATATATATATTATATATATTTATGCAGTTCATTAATGATTAGCTGCTTATGGTTAAAGGCCCACAACTCTTCAATAATTTTAAAGTGCATATAATCATACAACACTAACATTCAAGCAGATGTTTTGAAGCTTTTGCTTTAACACAGGGGTTGCTGCGAACGCAGGAAGGTTTCAAATCAGGTTTTTAAACGTATTTTATAATAGTACATTACATTTTGTAACTAAGGCACCTCACAGTTACAAATTTAAATAATAATTTAGTTATGTTTAGTATGTGTTTGTTCTCTCACAGCATGTGAGTTGGTGTTAGGGTAACTTTCTGGCGGGCTCAACCAAAAGTCCTCACAGGCCAACTTTGGCCCATCGGCCGCACCTTGGGAAGCACAGCTTTAATGGTACTGACCATTTTATTGAAATTTAAAACTAGTAGTGGGCAGAATGTCCAAAAATTTCACAGTATAATTAAGATTACAGACAATTTCAGTGTATATCACAGTATAGTGTATTTGTGTATATTTTTTTCAAATAAAACTATTATGGATGCTTAAGTGAACCTTTTTGTAGATTAACAATGGCATATTATTCTAGAGATCCCTTCACTTTTAATAACAACCATATTTAACAACTGAGGTCAAATTTTAAATATTTTTAGGTGAAATAGTAAAAACACAAAGACATAATCTATAGATAGATTGTTTTCTAACCCTAACGAGATAAATGCGAGTGTAGGTAACGTCCACAGTGGCTTCACTGAGCCTGGCAAAAACACTGTCTTATATGTGCGTCTCTTACACTTAAATATTAGTAGGCTAATCTACAAGCTATGCTAATAGCTAACAGCTAAACCCAAGAGACTGGCTTTTCCTTCCCACTCTCTTTTTGCCCTGTTAAGATATTACCTGATTACAATCTGATGTCTGCTCTAGAGGTCTGCACAAGGCAGGGTTCACCTGCACGTCCCGTGTGATCTGCTAAATAATTTGCAGGTGGGATTCATTTTGAAGCACTGTGGTCATTGCGAGTAAACAGCCAACAGTTGCGGGCTCATGTGGGCATGTATTATGGCTGGCTGAGTAGGGCTGGCTTGGACAATTATTGGCTGCTTGTAGAAGCAGCAAATGAGCGCAAGAGTGCTGCAGAAAAAAAAACACATTAGTAATAAGAAGCAGCAAAACTCATGAAGCTATTGAGCATCCAGTAAATGTCTAAGCACAAAAACCAAACTGATTTTGTCCATGACTTTTTCTTTTGGCTTTTCAACCTGTGCCATGGCCTCAGTCTCTGTTTTGACTGACTTGTAGACATCTTATAGAGTAATTAGCTCACAATATAATGCTGACACAGATAAAAACAATGTTATCAGGGAAGTCAAGCTGCTGCATGCTGCTTTTTTTTTGCCTCTGGTTCTGCCCACTGGTCTGTCGACAGTGACATCACGTGACGCGACGCTCATTGTGTGGTGCCGTGTACAAGTTCACGTGGCTGTGATTAGCCTAAAATACACAAAATATTTACTTTGCAACACTGAAACATTTATTGGTGCTGCTGGGTGTGCAGAGGTGCGATGGGTCTGGAGGCTCCAGCGTGTCACAATGTTTGTGTGGACACCTCCTACATCAGTGGAGCAGATTACAGCAAACACAGGCAGGAGTTAACGAGGACCACATGCATAGCCCAAAGTAGGCGGGTGCAGGTGCGGGTGGGCATGGCGTGTGGCTGGTGCGGGCAAAAATGGTGCTAGGTTCTGTGTGTAGAAGTGGGCAAGAATCACACTAGATTTTGTGGGTGCAGGCGGATGTGATTACTGGTTGAGTCAGGCGAGTGCGGGTATCAACAATCAGGCCTGTGCAGGCCTCTAGTCTCACAACAAATTGCACTTACCTCAGGCTGAAACTCACTACACGAGAGGTGAGGGAATCAGCATGTTTTGTATTTTTTGTAGGTTATGTTATGCGCATTACTGTGCATACCGGTATAACAGTAATGACAAAACTAATACCTTTAAAAGAATTTCAACTGGTATACAAGATGAACCAGTATTTCACCCACCACTAATGAAAACTTGCAACTTGACTAAGATTAGCTGATGATGCAGAAAGGATCATATCATATAATCACTTTGAAGTGTTTGTAATAGTGCAAAACAAAATCATACAACAAACAGATGTATGGAAACTTTAACAGTTTTGTAAATAGTCAATAAAGACTTACTGGATGAAACACTCCCAGAGTTTGTTTCAGCATGGGGTCAGTGTAGCCCCACAGCATCTCCCTCACTGTCCTCCTCTGGAACAGGGATGATTTGCTGCCCTCAATGAACATGTTCGCCCATGCATGATCTATAAGGTTGTAAACACCCTGAAAAAGAAAGAAAATATATCAGGACCAACTGAGTCTGACAAACATAGCATAAATATCCTTCAAATCAAAACATGTACTGAATGTGGCACTGACATATAATATATATATATATATATATATATATATATATATACTCACTCCAAATTTGATTTGATTGAAAAATTTGGGACAGGAGCATGTATACCACTGTGTTACATCACATTTCCTTTTAACAACACTTAATAATTGTTTATTAATAATCAGTAAGTGTCCAGTGTTTTTTACATAGAAGAAATACACTTACTGCCCAGAAAAAAATAGTTTTCAACAGTTTGCTTAAGAGCAATAATGCACATTAATGTATGCACAGCCAGTTTAACAGTAAAGTATTTGGGAATCTTTCAAAGGCTGCCATTAGTTCATTATTGTTCAATGAACTACATTTTTTGTTGTTTGGCCTTTTTCTTAAAACTACGATTACTCAAATAATTGTAAACAAATGTTTACTAATACACTCAACAGTGACAGCCTTTTCACAAACCCTACAGGCCACATGGGTTTATGTGTTTTGTCAGATTTGTGATTTCCTGAGCCGCAGTGGAGAAAAGATCATTTTACAATGTGTCTGCATGAAACAATCCAATGTTCAGAGATAAGAACAGATATCAACAAAAGAAACAAGATATACATTTTGATAGATTATCTATGGGAGTAACTTCACCCTGAACTGAAGGTTATAAACATGATTATGGTGGAAATGAAGCCATAAACTTTGGATTTTTATTGCTCAAGTGTTACCAAAGGGACGAAGGCCTTACTGAAAAAAGCATACAGCTGTTTTTAGAGGATGTTTGTACATTTTTGTTTGTTGTTTGTTTGTTTGTTTGTTTGGAAAAAGCAATTCCAGGAGTGTACATGGGTCAACATGAAGGAAACATAGTGCTCACCACTACAGTGATTTAACATCAGAGAGAAACAGGACAGATGTAGGGTGAAACAGAAAATGAGAGATGGGGGGAAAGAAGAAAAACAGAAAACAAACAGAAAAACAGTGACACGTTTTAAAAAATAAAAAATAAAAAAGTGTTATTTGCTATTGTTGTGGTTATTTTGAGTGATAATTATCAGTAATAATTATTTAAGCCACACCCCCAGGTCATGTATCTAATGAAGTATTCCATTTCGCTACATAATGATTCCACCTCTTTCAGTTACTGTTGCAATGGCCATCGATTTTTTTTAACTCAAGCTACCCAGCATAAGCAGCACATGGGCTTACAGACTGAAATATTCAGTCTAACAAAGGAAATCTAGAAGCACATGGACACGTACATTTAAAACACTGTCATTCCTGTAGGGCCTCCAGATCACTAAATTTGCCCTTGATAGATAGATGGATGGATGGATAGATAGATAGATAGATGGATGGGTGGATGGATGGATGGATGGATGGCTGGATGGATGGATAGATAGATAGATAGATAGATAGATAGATAGATAGATAGATAGATAGAGAGATAGATAGAGAGATACATAGATAGACAGATGTTGTGTAACATACAGCCACTGCGAGGTTCAGTGATGTCACTTCGTCCTCCTCCAAGCCCTGAGATTGGGACGGCTCAAAGACAGCCTCCGCTGGCAGCATGAAGGACACTGTGTGGTTCTCACTGAACGTGATGTTTTGTTTGGGGATGTACCGTGTTCTAAAACACAGCGAGAAAGAAGAAGAGATTACCTACTGAACGACTGAGAAAGGCAGCGTTGGTTCCCCACTGCTCTGTAAAAATCGCTGCACTGAATTTATTAGACTTAAATGTACGTATCAACACTATTACTATCAAAAGTAAAAAAAAATATTTATCACTTTATCTTCAACAATAAAATGTAATTGCACCTGTAAAGGTGAACATCTTTTTTTTGCTGATCTATTATATCAGTGTGTGTAAACATGCACACAAATGTGCAAGAGCCTGAGGATACAGCTATTTCAGATTAGATAAAGATCATCAGACCAGTCTGATTTAGTGCTGACTTTGTGTGTTAAACACCAACATACTGTATGACTTCTTGAACAACACCTCTAAAGTTCAACAAGAGGTCAGTTTTACACAGTTCCCCCCTGATGCTATTGTGCCACAGGCCCTGACTTGGCCCACCGGCCTTGTGTTTGGCACATGGGCTTTAATTGAGGCTAGATTTTTTGTGTTGTAAAGACACACTCCAGAAATAGGAATTTACAGAACACATTATTGAAATCTCATTGTTTTATGTTTAATCAAAATAAAAACCTGGGCACTGTTGTTATAAATTGTTGCAGTATTATAGTAGTATATAATCTAGCACAAATCCAGTCATTATATATTCAATATATACAATGTTATTCTATATGCAATTTTATTCTGTATGCAATGTTATTCATTATATGCAGAATTCCTACTGTAATATTCTTCAAAATATGACTATAAATGAACACATAACATTTCTTGAATGCAAGTATTCTAGAAACCGAGATTTTACGCTCTGAATGCAGAGAAAAGCTGATTTTGGAGGAAAAAAATCAGCTTAAAATTTGTCAATTTTAAGATTGCCTCAGAATTGCATTATTCAGTTGCTTTTGATAAAACATGCTCTATTTGTATGAATGCTCTCATTATTATTAAAATTAAGATATTCTAAGAAAATAGACATAATTTGCTATTCTAGTTAGATTCTACAGAAAACAAGTCTTTCATTGATATATGACATAATATATCCGAAATCATATTATCATATATCAAAGTGCCAAAATATGGGCGGGGCTAAGCCTTATGTTTACAGTTGATGAGAAGACATGTTCTACATGCAATTTATCAACAAATCTGAAAAATGATTGATGAAAACAAAATCATTTCTGCCTGTTGTGTCTTTTCTTAAGATTACTAACAGAATATTAAACCTGCAATTCAAGGAGTCAAGACAACAGTCAAGCCCGTGCAGTGGGAGAAGAGCTAAGGTGCATTCCTATTGGAAAAACCTCACTTTGGGCTTCAGTTCTCCACCTGATAATTATAATAATGATGATAATGCTCCCAATGCTCTCTCACATAGTAAGAAGCAGAGACTGATGGACACACCCATTTATATGCATATTTATATAGAGTATATATAGCATACAGTAGGGTACTCTAAACACTGAAAAGCCCTGCACGCTTTACTGCTCAGCTAAGTAATTTTTATGGTATGATTACTCGATTAACCGTCAAATTTGATTGAGTCAACAGTGCCAGCCCTACCTGTATGTGTATGGTCCTCTCTGCTGAAGCTGAGGGATGCTCCCGTTCGCTAAGACTTCCTCAGGATTTTGCACATCAAACAGCCAGAACTGTCTATAAACTGGAGCTCCAGCTGATATCCAGTTCTCATACGCTGTAGTACCTTCCTCCAACACAGCCTCCTACAAGATAGATGGATGGAGAGATAGATGAATAGACAGAAAGACAGAAGAAAAGATGACAGACAGACAGACAGACAGAAAGACAGACAGATAGATAGATAGATAGATAGATAGATAGATAGATAGATAGATAGACCTCTTCTTAAATTACAGACTACCACATTACTGTTGGTGAGTAGAAGGGGATATATTTTAATATGATTTAAATTTGATGAAAAGTTATTGTTGTGTGTACACTGTTGTGTACAGTATGAACCTGTCAATACAGCATGTAAATAAAATATACATGTAATTCATTATGTAACTAACTATAATTATGTAATTGTGTAATTGCTTTTAAATAATAATACAATGCAAATCGTAAGCTTTGCGAAATGACAGTAATAACTCTAAAAGTCTAAGAGTTAAGGTTAAAGTTAGAGTCATCATGAAAAGTTTACTAATAGTACAATGAGTTGAAATGCGATGAAACACAGTGTGTTGCTCAGAATTTGGTTTGAGCACAGCCAGCGTACACTCAAGAAACCAAGCACAGATTAATTCAGTTCATGTGTACTTTGCTTTGACGAGAATAAAGTATCCCAATACATCAACACATTATTCATGTGGAAATGATCAGGGCAAAAATCAGGGTAGAAAGATTTAATAAATGCAGCACTGATGAGGAAAGATATTCTTCTCATGTCTTCCTATGCAGTGTAAACACAGATCGGTGTCACAGAGTGAGATATGAACTGCTTATTTATCTACAGATTTTATAGTAGACTGCACTAATTGGATGAGAGCAATATAACCCCTTGTGTTTACTTTTAAGAAGTAGAGACACTGAGCCACAATGTTTGGAAAAGAAGACTTTGCGTCATCTGACTGATAATAAGAAGATACCATGCACCTTTTTTTTTTTTTTAATGGATCGTTTGACTATTTTTTTATCCAGCCTGATAGCATTGTCTGATTCCTCTGTCCAGTGACCTGCTGTGTTTTTATATGCAGTTATTAGAGCTGTCAAAATGTGTTGTAATGCAGATGTGGTGGCGATTCGACTTTGGAAATATAATTGATTGTAATGATATTTTGCACTGCAGTATGGGGGGATATTATAATGTCTTTGTAATACCCTTTCTAAGCCATATTAAGCCAGTAGCTGCTAATTAACTAGCTGCTCATTTTCTACTTTCTCAAGCTATAACTGGGGTGAATAAATCATTTTCCAGAGTGCTTTTATAAATTCATACATATCATAATACTATGCACATCATACATACAGCACAGCTCTTGCAGACTCTCTGTTCACATAAGACCTAAATATCAGACTTTCATAGTACAGAAATCTTATAATAGATGGTCATCATTACCAGTTATTGACTTAACACGAACATTACAAGGGCATTATAATATCCCCATAAACTCGTCACTGACCAACAAGAGACATAAGGTCCAGCCAGATCAAACTGTTGATTCCATTTGTTTGGGCATTTTAAATGAAGACCAGTTTAAGACCAGAAGAACCGCACATCACACCCCAATGAATAATGCTTTGCTCTGATTAACTAATTTCCATGTGGTTTCTGCAGTTCTATAAATGTTCTACATTATAGGTATTCATTCAACATCATAAGAATCAATTTTACCCTATATGTGTTAATGCTAGATTTAATACTAAATTAAAATTCATTATTCATCATTTCCATGTGAATAAAATATATTACACCAGCACATTACACCCAACTGACAATCTTATTGTCTTTTGATTTACTTACTTTTGTATACGAGTGTGTTGATGTGATATATTTTATTCATATTGCAATTATGTGTGCATTTGAATGAAGTAAATTAAATTCATAACTTTTAAACACTGACACATTTAATTATTGGAAGAGTTACTTCAGCACTCTGCCTATTAATGTGTCACTCTAGAGGCTGGTTTCCCAGACATGGATTAAGCCTAGACTTGGACTAAATTGCAGTACCAGACAACCACTTGAATTTGTTTTAGTCAACACTCCCGTGCAAAAAAAGGGATCCAAAATATAACAGGTTTTACTGATGTTTTAAACCCTGTAGAGAATATTTGGTCTCACATTAAACACAAACTAGCTTGGCAATGTTTTTCAACTGTTTGAAGTTGTCAGTGCTGAGTGGAAAAACACAGACTCTACTTTCTGTTATAGACTGTCTGCAAATTTACAGACAGAACTTCAAGATTTACAAAAATCAAAGGAAAAAGCCATACCATGTTCAGTTACTTCGTCTATTTGTTTAATGATGTGTTGTTAGGACCATTAAGAGCTTACTGTTTTGCCATTTTGGGCTTGGCCCATTTTTTTTTGCCCAGGGGTGTAGGTTTAGATTAATCTGACTCTGGGACACTGCAACAAAGAGTTCTGTAGATACTATGGGTTGGTTTCCCAGACAGGGACTAAGCCTAGCCCTGAACTACACAGCATACTGAAAGGAGTTTCTTCATTGAAAAGAGAACGTAGTCCAGGACTAGGCTTGATCCATGCCTGGGAAACCAACCAATAGTTTTCAATAAACTAGTCCTAGACTACATTTTCCTTTCAGATGAGAATTTCAGTTCACAATGCTGAGTAATCCAGCACTTGGCTTAATCTCTGTCTGGGAAACCATCCATAAAAGTGTTTATTTCATGAGGCTGTTAGACAATGTAAGAGTTAATTCAACAGTGTAAAAGAATCGGATACTATGAACCAGTTTCCCAGAGCCAGATTAAGCCTAAACTCTAACTAAATTGGATTTTTCATGGTGAAACACCACTGATATTACAGTTTAGTTTAAAACTAGGCTTAATCTATGGCCCTAAAATAGTACACCTAACACTATAAAACGGGGGGGGGGTCATACTTATAAATAACATGGTTAAAATGTGTCACGTTGTTGCACATAAATAAAACATCAACACATTTCTTGCCAGAAAAAGAGCAAACTTAAAGACAGCAATTGTCTTGATGTGACATTTTAATTGTGTGCAACCACTCGACACATTTTAATTATGAACCATTTTTTCAGTGTAGCTTTTTCATTTGATGTTATAAGAGTTCATTTGAAACTATAAGAGGATTTAATAAGGCTTTATTAGGCATTATGGGCTGGTTTCCCAGACGTGGACTATGCCTAATCTTGCACTAAATTCCAAGGCTAATGCCAATCGCCACTGGAAATTCTTTTATAGTCTAGGTTTAGATTAATCTGGCTCTGAGAAACTGGAAGTAAGAATAAGGTTTTTCAGATAGGGATTAAGCCTAGCCCTGAACTACACGGCATTCTGAATGGAGTTTATTCACTCAAAAGAAAATGTGGTCCAGGACTAGGCCTAATCCTTGTCCAGGAAACTGACCCTACAAGTTTACTGGAGACTATAAATTGGATTTCCAGACAGTCTGGTTTTGGAATACATTTCCCTCTCAATGGAGAACTTCCATTCATAATGCTGTGTAGTCCAGCACTAGACTTAATCCCTGTCCAGGAAGCCAGACTTAAGAGTACAAGACCATGAGACACTGTAAGAGCTCATTCAACGATGTCAGAGAATTGCACACCATGCACCACGGTTCTAAACAGAACCATTCCCTTTACTAAACAACCCTTGAAGAACCATCTTTTCAAGAGTGTAGACTAAATGGGATTGTTTAATAGTGAAACACCACTGCCACTGCAGTTTAGTTCTAAAAGGAGTTCTTTATAATAGTACATTTAATGTAATATGAGTTTATTGGACACAACAGGTGGGTTTCCCAGACATGGATTAAGCCTAGTCTTGAACTAAATTGCAGGCTAATGGCAAATCACCACTGGACATTCTTTTAAGCCTAGATCTAGGCTTAATCTGGCTCTGGGAACCTGCTGTTTTGAGAGTTAACACAGCACTAGAGGAGTTCTGTTCTCACTGTAAGAGTTAACAGAAGACAGTAAGAGTTAACCCAGCCGGCGGCTCTGCTGCTGTATATTTATTTCTCATGTCTCCAGGCTCTCTCTGTCCTCGATGTCAGCGCTCAGCTGCTCAGCTCTAATGACTTTGACTGTGACCTGAGGACGCATCGCTTTCTCCAACGCTTTCTTTCCACAAATCAGTCAAATGCATTGAACATTGACCTTAACCTTATTACCATCATTTATTATTGATCTTTTTGCCATCAATGAATAAGGATTTTGGTCATCTTACCTTCTTCACAGTGTCCTCAATCACAGTGTTGCCTACTGGAATGAGAATGACCCCCAGCAGGCAGGCTACTGCCCCGGCCACACTCCCTGTGATCAGCCAGCAGCGCGTGGAGCAGCACGAACACCCCATAGCTACCGGTCAGCTAAGGCGCTTCGGCAGTGTGGCATGGCAGCGAGACACACACCGCCTCTCACCCGTTACGTAAGCAAGAGCGAGCGAAGGTTGGTGTCTGTGTGCGCGCTTTCGGCGCCGGTGCTCGTTTTTTACCCACCCGTATTCCGTCAAGTCACGCCTTGCCAGCTAAACGCTTGTGAACTGCTTGTGAGTGTGAACTACTGGCCAATCGCAGTGCACGATGCAAGACAGATGCTGTTTGCCAACAAGGGCGGCAGGGAGGTAATTAGCAAATCCTAAAGCAGCTGGGATTTTCTTAGCCAATCCAAGAGCAGGAGGGGTAATGCTGCCCAATCCTACAGAAGGGAAGATGCTGTTAATCAATCCTAGAGCAGCAAGGATGCTGTTAACCAATCCTATCACAGAAGGCATTCTACTAGCCAATCCTAGAGCAGCAGGAATGCCATTAACCAATCATATCACAGAAAGCATTCTACTAGCCATTCCTAGAGCAGCAGGAATGCCATTAACCAATCATATCACAGAAAGCATTCTACTAGCCATTCCTAGAGCAGCAGGAATGCCATTAACCAATCTTATTACATAAAATATTCTACTAGCCATTCCTAGAGCAACAGGAATGCTGTTAACAAATCCTATCACAGAAAGCATTCTACTATCTAATCGTAGAGCAGCAAGAATGCTATTAACCAATCATATTACAGAAGGCATGCTACTAGCCAATGCCAAAGTAGCAGGAATGCTATTAACCAATCCTATCAAATAAAACATTCTACTAGCCAATCACAGAGCAGCTGGAATGCTATTTACCAATCCTATCACAGAAAGGATTTTACTAGCCAATCCTAGAGCAGCAGAAATGCTATTAACCAACCCTATTGCAGAAGGCATGCTACCAGCCAATCCTACAGCAACTTGAATGCTTTTAACCAACCCTATCACATAAGACATTCTAGTAGTCAATTCTAGAGCAGCAGGAATGCTATTAACCACTCATATCGCAGACATTCCACTAACCAACTCTACCCTGCTCAAAAAAACAGAAAAAAAGTGTTTCTGTTGGTTCCTGGTGGTTTTGTAATGTGTTTTGGCTTTTTAATGGGTTTATGTCATAATGTAAAGGATCCTAATCCTAATGGTTTAACAGCTGACCAATGACTGATTCTAACTGCATTTGATGGTTTCCTAATGGGAAAATCCCAATGGTTTTCTACAGGAAACGAGTGGTCTCTATTGGAAACCACTAAGCCAATTCCCATTAGAAAGAAAAACCATTAGGTTTTAATTCCAGTGGTTTCTAATGGTCCTTTTACCAGCCGGGTACAGCAGCTCGAACGCTATTAACCAATCTTAGTACATGAAGGATTCTACTAGACAGTCCTAGATCACAAGGGACGCTAATAGCCTAGAGAAGTAAAGATGTTGTTGTTTAATCCCACAGAACAACTAGTTCTGGCGTAGCATGCTCTTAGCCAATCCTATTGCTGGAGGGACGCTATTACCTAATCCCACAGCAGCAATGGATGCTCTTAGCCAATCCTAGACCAGTGATGATGCTATTAGCAAACTCAAAAACAGCAGCATAGCATATTTGCGCCAGCTTAAGGATAAGTTAAAAAATCCAGAAGAAGTTACTCTGGATAAGTATTGTATGCTAAAGAACATGAATGTAAACATAAATGTACTGTCCAATCCCAGAGCAGAAGGGATGCTACTAGCCAGTCTCAGAGGAGAAAGGATAACATTTGCCAGTCCTGGAACAGGCAGGATAGCAAATTATTAGAGCAGTAGGGATGTTATTAGTCAAACTTAGAGTACCAGGGATGCTACTAGCCAATCCTAGCAAAGGAGATACGCTACACACCCATCAAAGAGCAGAGGGGAATGCTACTAGCCACTTTCTACTTCCTGGAGCAGAAGAAATGCTTTTAGCTAATCGTAGAGCAGCACGGATACTTTTGGCTATTCATAGCGCAGAAGTGGTTACACTAGTTCGACTTGGCTTAAGAATTAGTTTTCTGAGTAGTAAATTAATTTTTTGTCATTCTCTGGATTAGGGCTTCTGTTAAATGCCAAATGTAAATGTACTAGCCAATCACAGAGCAGCTAGAATGACAAGCTCTACACCATCAGGGGTGCTACTAGCCAAATCAAGGGCAGCCGGGATGCCATCAGACAATTCTAGAGCTGTTTTAGGACTGTTGTTTTTAGCCCATAATTGAAGAAAGGATTAGCCAGAGAAAAACTGCAATTACCTGAAAACAGGTGTGAAAACAAAATGCTCCACTATCACTACATCTTTGTGGTGATAACTGTATGCTGAGAAAAGCTCAGTGGAAGACAAAAGTTAAAGTACAAAGTAAAAACAAAGGTCAGGCCATTACAATCTTTCTGCCACATATGCAGTTATTCCTCTATCATTACTATTACACTATAATTCCAGTATAATCCACTATATTTCATTCAATACCCTATTTTTAAACCTTGGCTTGGGGAGCAGGGGAGGGTATTGTAAATGCACGACAACCTCCAAAATCGTCAGTACAGATCTTACATAAAATAATTAAGGCCGGTAATCAGTGTGATATGAACTTTACACTGCTTTTGCACAGCTGTGACATATGATTATGAAAAGTGCCTTCGTCAAGGAAGTCTGGTAATGTGTTCAAAGGTAACAGCATAACCAAGATAAGATACATATCCATGGCTTAAAGGCTACAATTATATTTATCTTGTACTTAGCATTAGGCTCTGTGATCTAGGAGAGGCAAGATACAAAATCAGGTTTGTTAATACAGCAAAGGAAAATCCATGACGAAACCAAAAACAAGCAAGGGAATGAAATGGGAAAGGCCAGCTAATTATAACAAATGTCAACTTGTTATAATAAATTTTACACTATAAATATGTAGTAGTCGGAACAAATAAACAAAACGTTTTTGTTTGAACAAAACGTTGTATCTCCAAAATGGTAACTGGACAGTAAAAGTAAAAACCGTAATTAACTTGTAATGAGAGTCATGTAACACGATTTTTCTGCAAGTCTGTTTATCATGAAATTTGAAAACAACGCAAATGGTAACTATATATATACACACTGGATACTTCATTAAAATCACCTCCTTGTTTCTACAATCATTGTCCATTTAATCAGCTCCACTTATCATATAGGTGCACTTTTTCTGCATACTTGTACATGTTTGCCCCCTTCAGTGGTCGAAACCCCAACAGGTCCACCACAGAGCAGGTATTATTTGGGTGGTGGATCATTCTTAGCCCTACAGTGACACTGACGTAGCGGTGGTGTGTTGCACTGGTGCAAGTGGATCAGATACAGCAGGGCTGCTGGAGTACAACAGAATTGCAACAGAATTGACAGTTAGTGTTCTCCTCCAAGGACACCGAGCTGTTGCATTACAGGCAGTTTGAAAAGATGTGGTGGCACTTCACGTGACTTGGAGGAAGCATGCGCTTAGGGGATACATAACTAACAGGTGGAACAGTGATTCAGCTGTGAAGAAAAGACAAAAAGAAAAGGGGGAAAAATGTATAACAGGTCCCTTTCGCAATAACACCACTTCTCTTGCTTCTGTTTACTTTTTTATTTTTCTTTTCAGTGACCTACTAGGTTTAGGATTTCAATGATTTTTTTTTGTATTTACATGGTTGCACTGACCAAAATGATCAGTCCACCTGTCTAGCTCCAGGCCAGAATAGTTAGGACCTAACTAAACATGTTATCAAACCGGTCACAAATTCAGGCAGACACACTATGATATTTCCAAATTTATTTCCATTATCATTATTCACTTTCAGTCAAAGTCAATTTTATTTTCATTCCTTCTCACCACAGACGTTAGTTAAAGGATGAATGTAGTTCCTCTGGAGCTGCTGTGTTACAGAGAGCAAATGTAATACAAACGGACAATATACTATACAAGCATTACAAACGTGAAGGACAGAACAGTAGGCAGTGAACACTGAACAGTGGTCTGTGTGGTGGGTGAAAGAAAAACACCTGTTAATGCTCAGCAGTAGGGATGGAAGTCGATTACAAAAAGGGTCAATTCTCCAATTCCCAGCGTTTAGGACTCGAGAGTCGACTCCAAAGCGTTGTACTCGATTCATGTTCAAGTTTGCCCACACCTGCGCACACACCTGCGCGAGTTTGAGGTATTCTGCTGTCACTGTCTAGACAGCCTGTCTGAAAAATGCATCCTTCCATGTCACACACATCACCAGATTGGCTGTGCTTTACTTTTGGCAAAGTGGAAAACAAGGTAAAATGTACAATTAAAAAAAATGCTTACAATCAAACACTGTTGCCAGTGCTGAACCATCTACCCATCTGGAAGAGCTGACAGAGGAGAATCAGGTACAGTTCAGTCAGCTGAGTAATTCAACTGAGTAAGTCAGTAATTCTGACTCGAATTAGCCTTGCTAAGGTCAAATAGGTCATATAATCAAAGCTGCACTATGTAAGTTTCTTTTTTGTTAAAATTCAAAGAAGTAGCATCATAATGTTAGGAGACAAAAAACATGCTAAAACATGCTGTTGTGAGTCACCCTGTGAAGCCTGAAATAATAATTAAGAATTCAGAGGTGTGGGGTTGGATTTCACGGGAGGTTTTCAGACCATGTCATATGTCTTTACGTGTTAATGCCACACACACAGGCTCAAAAAGAAGGTGTGACTTATTATTGGTGTGATATTTAGGTCTCAAATGCAAAATGGAAAAAAGCAACATGATACTAATGAGGATATGGACAGAAAATATTTCACTTACATCCTCTGGAGACACATCCTTCACCATCTTTCAATGCTCTCACAAATGTCAGAATTATCCACTCAGTGTCTGAAGCACAACCTGCATCACATTACAATTGTTTTTTAAGCACATTACATGCAATTACACATTTCCACCAGAGAGGTCTCCAAATCCCCAAAACTTGCCAAGTGCAGCTTTAAACTGAGATATTTTGTCTCTGAGGAACAACTGAGGTGAGGACACCTGATGTAAATAAGCCATGATCCCTTGACATTTATAACATATACTATACCAGTATATTACAAAATATTGTGTGTAACTGAC